CATATTATGCGCTTTTAACAGATACATAACAAACGCGAATATTTGCGAAGGCGAAGATACGAAGTCAAACTGCTCTCGCGTTGGCCTGTTCGGTAGTGAAGGTCTTCAGCTACATTAGAACTATTCAGGTTGTGTCACGTTTTGATGATGGGCGTCCTTTATTCGGCGACACCAGTTTAATTCTTATTTAAATTTCCACGTGAATTTAGTCCCATTAGCATTTTCAAAGGATATGTCAGCTTTCGGAGAAAGCACATATGTAGTCCAATTTAACTGAATTTCTCCGGAAATATATAACCCTATAACGATTTATCAAAAATTTTTGTTTTTAATTTCAGAATACCCCCTCTAGAAAAGATTAGTTTCGTCCTTTTCTATTTTTCAAACCCACAGAAGTTAATCGTTTCTAGAGGGGGTATTCTGAAAATAAAAAAAACAACAAAATATTTTGATAACTCTAAATAGGGTTATATATTCTGTGGCGTTAACTGGTGCCGGCAGAATGGTGCCTTTTACTCTTTGTATTTATACCCATTTACACTAAATAAGAACTATTTTTCATCTAGACATACTTCAAACACCTTTATTTATTTTTCTAATACTTTAAAAAAAAAAATGTTTTACGGGTTAATATCGCGAGCTCATTAAGCCGCACCGATGTCATTCCTTTCAGTGAATATTCACTGCTGATCAGTGAGGGCCCAACTCTGGGCCGAACATAGTTTGGCAACCTATTCGCCTACGTGCAGATTCGCCCATCAAGCTAGCAACATTTCGGTTGTCAACCTACATGTATTCAGAATAAACACCGGAATCGCCCAAACTCTTCTATATTTATCAACCAAGACAACCCAACGTTACATTGTATAAAATGAAAGTAGAATATATGATACCGTACACTATTGCCATATTAAGCTCTTCTTTTAGCTCCAAAAACAAGTTTAATTTCGGATTGTCATAGCATCTAACTAAATATATTCTTAAAGTTAATTAGACATGCATTATGCAAGAGCTTAATCTGCCTAATGCAGGTCTTTCTTTGGGCCTGATATGTTATATAAACTATCAATTAGACATTTATTAGCATGACAAGACTATAATCAACTCTCGATGCCATCTTGTGTGTCCGATTTTTATTGGATTTGAATCCGATCTGCTGTTCAACGTCCGTTGATGATTAAACGCAAAAATGGATAATCGAGACTTTGTTAATTATCGTGACAGCGGTAACAATACCAATCGGAGCTACAGTGATTTTAAAATAAGGGTTTCTCGGCTTAGAGTGAAACAATTTGACTGCAAGTATCAGCATATTCCATTTACATCATTTAGTTATTAACTAATATAGTGAGAACATCATTTAGTTATAGTGAGAACTGCCACAATCATATTTAAGGGATGCGCTCTCATTCTTAACAATTTTTAAAATAGTCTTTACACAACGACTGTTAATATTCCGAGTCAAAATTAGGATCATGGAACAATATTCTGAGGATCCATATACTGAAAGTTAATTAAATACGCTTGCCACATATTATTGGTAAATGTTGGTCCAAACGTATTAAAGAGGCGCTCTCTCGAGCCCAAACATGGCCATTTTTCAATATTGCGAGTCAAAATTCGGATCATACAAAATTATGATATTAAAACACATCTTTTAATCGAATGGAAGCATGGGAAGGTCATAGGTCAGGAGTGGTGGGCCATCAGGTCCCTGGAACCAGAATAAAACCAAATTTATAATCACAAGCACAACAATTACACAAACATTAAAAAGCAATTTCTCTCGCTGAAATTCTATTTTGACGGGGAACCATTCAACCTAAAAGACCATCTAGTAGTTCTTCCATTACCTCGTCATGTCTTAGCTGTAGCTCTGTAGTTTGGTCTTGCAACAGCTGAGCTACCGCATTGATACGTTCTGCTATCTCATGAGGAGATGACTTATGGATATCTATTGAAGTGGATATCAGGGTGTGATTAGGTTGAGGTAAATTTTGGCCCGCTAGCGGCACTACGACCTACTCTTATATCGAATTCCAACTGTCAATGGATCTTTTACGTGCACACCGATGTGTAAACAGGATCTCGGTTTTTCGTCCCATCCGAAGGATGCCGATAATCCAAATATAATTTAAAAATAGTTCAATGTTTTTCTTGTATTTTAAAATACTTATTCCCTTGTTTTAAATCGAATATATTCATGTATTTTAATGCCTATTTTATATTATGCTTCCTTGTTGCTACACTTTTCTAAGTTGCATATATTAATTGTTTTAGGTAAGGCACATGTTGTAAAATCCATATTAGTATAAATGAAATAGGTTTTATGGCACGTCAGTCCAAGTCAGGCTATATTGAGTCAAACAGATGGTGAAAAGTGAGATATATTATAAATTTATCTATATTAGTACATGTATTTGTGACTGTCGTTTGTCTGTCTGTTTGTCTGTCTGGTCAGTGTTGGCAGCCACACTAGCGCCGTTCCGAGACTGAAATTTAGTGTAAAGAGGTATCTTGGACCGGGGAGTTACATAGGCTATGTGGCATCGGCCTACCGCTATACTACTTTCAAACTGTGCAGAGTCGGGTCATCCGCCAGTATGTAGATACAAACATGATCTCTGTGTTAAAATTATATTTGAAATGTGTTTAACCGGTTCTATTACATGTGGGATAATGGCTGGGACCACTTAATTATGATCAAAAGAAAACAAAATGTTTAAAGATTTAGGCCTACCAATTTCTTTTCTTTTTTTTCTTTTTTTGAAAAATTTCAGTTTAATTGTTCTAGAACTATATTATAGTAAATGATTGTCAGACAAAAACAGTCTGAAAGCGAATTATCTGACAATCTGATTAAAACACAGATACTATTTCGTTTCGTTTTGTAGTTCAAAATTTCGTTTTACTTATCTTTACTACATTAGGATCTGTAAGAGTTGTTATCATTGACGTGTTCTGAATGGTGTGAGGTATTAGCCAATGAAACGGTTTGTTACGGCGGGCTTTAGGCGTGTTTTGCACGGAACTGTGGGTAATCTACTAGTAACATCAATGCTGATTGCTTAATCAAATGTCTGACGTCGTAGGGTCAAAAGCCGCTTGTATGCCCTCTGACGTAACCTATCGCTACAACCGGTCAGATCTTCATGTAGTGTAGGCCATCGAAAGTATAAAATAAACGAAATGAAATATAGATCTGTGTTTTAATCAGAATAATTGTCTCAAAGAACAACAATGGACATTTTATATTATGAGACTTTCTTTAGAGGTATTTTTCTGTTACTTTTAGTAAACAGCGGATGCCAGGCGAAATAATATTATGCTCACGTTTTGCAAGAGATGGATAGAGAACAAACTAAAGAAAAACAGGATTTTCGTACAGTCAGGAGGCATAATCCAGAACGTTATGGTCTGAAATGCGCGAATATCGACAGGGACTGTGATCTTTGGAATATAAAGATATATTTTAAGTTTCATCGAAAATGGACAACAATTGAGCCCACCAGGGAAGTCACAACCTTCGTATTACACATACATTTATACAATTGCATACACGGAGCGGCCATTTTGTTCGTAAGTGTCGTTTCGATTTTCACGAAATTCGAACTCGGCCATCATTATGGTGTAACAGTGACATGTTTAAACGGTTTTTAAAATTGGAAAAAACTTTTTTGCGTCCAGAGGACCCACTAGCTAAAAATGTAATTCTTTCAGGGGCAATAACCCAGGAAGTTATGGTCCAATATGTGCGAATATCCAAAGGAACTGGGATCTTTGGATGTAAACATATATTTAAGTTTCATCTAAATCAGATAAAAATTGTAACCTCTAGAGGACCACAAACTTCGACATACTTTTACACGACATTTGCGTACATTGAGCGGCCATTTCGTCCGGCAGTTTCGGTCCCATTTGCACCGAAATTCGAAAACAATCTTCATTACGGTGTGACGGTGATATATTATCATTCAAAGGGATTTTGAAATCGGATAAAAATTGTGACCTTTTGAAGGACCACACGCTAAAAACGCGATTTTTCGTTCAATCAGGGGTCATAATCCAGGAAGCTACGATCCAATATGCGCGAATATCGACAGGAACGGAGATTGTTGGGTTATAAACATATTCTCCAAGTGTCATCAAAATCGAATAATAATTGTGAACTCTGAGTGTCCACAAGCTAAATTCTTATTTCCTGTACAATCAGGGGCCATAATCCATGAAGTTACGGTTCGATACATGCCAATATCGAAAGGAGTCGATATCTTAGGGAGATAAACCTATATTTTAAGTTTTGTCCCAATCGGGTAAAAATTGTGACCTGGAGAGTGTCAAAAAACAAATTGTGGACGGACGGACGGACGGACGAATGGACAGGGGCGACGACAATATTCACCCACATGGAAATATGGGCGTATAAAAAAATTAAACGGCTTGTAACATAGGCTATAGCCAATATTGATATTTTCTGAAAGCTTATAACTTGGGAAGCCATTTTGAAAAAAATCCCATTACCTACTGAAGCACCTGTGGGTTTGCTTTTGTTTATGTCACTGATGTCGGTGAATTGAGAAACCAAACAACCCGTGTCCTGAAATCCCTATCACACTTAATCTGGTTAAAACACAGATCCTATTTCGTTTCGTTTTATTATAGTTCAAAATAGGGTTAGGGTTAGGGTTAGGATTATAAGCGTTACGGGAGAGGTCATATAGGCCATGCCTGTTCCTCAATCTCCTTCAATTTCTGAATAAAATATTGTTAAAAAAAGTAATAATAATAATAATAATAATAATTATATATGGCGGCGATGTTGGATTCAACTTGGGTCCAATTTACCGCCAATCAGTATCAAAACATTTTCATTAATAGTTTCATACTAGACTCAGAACGATGTTGTGAGGGGAGGGGGCGTGTCCATCACATGGGCTCAGAACGATGTTGTGGGGTGGGGGGGCATCAAATAGGCTCAAAATCAATTGTCACCCATCATACACGTAGTCATGGTTTATTCTTTTATCATGAAAATATGCCGTAAATCGAAACAAAATACTATTTCAATAAAAATTAAATCTACACAAATCAAATATGCCATTTTTGTACTGGAAATATTAACGAATTACACATCAAGGTAAACTATTAAAACTAAAGAGAAACATTTAAAATTCATCTTAAGGGGTCTTATTAGGTGTTGAGTTAAGCATTCCCCTTTCAGCTGTGACAAAGTGATCTTTATATTTTTCAACAAATTGAACGATCATTTAGGTGCATGAACTCAGATTTGATAATATATGATATTGACGTTTCACCTCTGTATTAAAAAACTAATTAATTCAATATGTCCTTTACAAGCTACACATGATATGTGTATAACACTAGGCAGAACTTCAAAGAGAATGTAGTAGTTGTCAGTGTATCATACTATGACCTGACAATGACATCCAAAAAAATATGCAGTGTAATTACAGATATCATAATTTGATAAATAAACAATACCATATATGATGATCACTCTTGTCCATCTTCCCTAATTGTTGAACACTATATAAGCAGGTGTTTATTGACAGTAAGTCTGACATGGAATTGAGCTTCTACCGAATTATGTCTATTTCATGTTCTTAATAAAGGTCTTATCAATTATGCTGATCTTCTGCTATCTGTAGTGTTACATAGCATAATATACCTGACGCAAACGAATGACGTCGCACGAGTTTCAAAGTTGTTATGTAGAAATTGTAATTGGGATGTGTTACGTTCTCCACATGACGTGACTTATAAGCAGCTATACCCTTTCATAAAACAAAGTTCTGTGTATGATATAGTTAGAATCGTTTATTGTTAAAACTACTGATAGTGTGAAAATGATGATATCTGGTTTTAAGTGGGCTACATCAATAGGCTGATAATAAAACACACTTTCTAATCAAATGGAAGCATTGGAAGGTCATAGGCCAGGAGTGGCGGGCCATCAGGCCCCTGGAACCAGAATAAAACCAAATTTATAATCGCTAGCACAACAATTACACAAACATAAAAAGCAATTTCTCTTGCTGAAATTGTATTTTCACGGGGAACCATTCGACCTAAAAGAGCATCTTGTAGTTCTTCCATTTCCTCGTCATGTCTTAGCTGTAGCTCTCTAAGTTGGTCTTGCAACTGCTGGGCTACCTCGGTGATACTTGCTGCTACCTGATGAGGGGTGGAATTATGGATATCTCTTGCGTTGGATATCAGGGTACCAATATCTATGGGGAGTGTGATTAGGTTGAACACAGCTCCAACTATGGGCACAGCGTCAATAGCAGCGCCAACACCTCTAATTGTGGCTCCAGATGCATCCAAGAGCACGTCCACCAATCTCACTAATTGAATTCCTGCCGTTACTACGCTACCAATAGGAGCGGCGCCTCTTATGGAATGAATAAATAATATAAGTCCCTCCATTGCATTTTGATAATCCAATACAGCTTGATTATCTGCCTCGAGCACTTGGTTGCATTGCTCTCTCCTGTTTTTACTAACTACAATATCGCCTATGGCAGCTCCAGCACTTGTGGTACCAGATAGAACTCCCAAGACAGCCCCCGCCGCAGTTAAACCAACCCCAACTCCAAATATGGGTATCGTTGCCAATCCAGCAATCGTTAAACCTGCCGAAACTACTCCACCAACGGAACCGAAAATTTTACTGATCCTGACCTTGCGTTTGCTTGAGTTTAACTCATCAGCCAGTTCCAATAATGTGGCTACTGTAGCTTGTCGACGATTAACAAACCTAGCAAAACCGGCTTCATGTTGTCGCATCCGTTCAAGCAACCTGTAAAATAAAAATTAAGTCATTGATTGACGAGAGAGAGAGAGAGAGAGAGGGGGGAGAGAGAGAGAGGGGGAGAGAGAGAGAGAGAGAGGGGTAAATGTCTATTTATAGCAATCATCTCTTTCTCAAGTTTCCTTCCCCTATTGACTTGTTGGTCTAGGACAGTGATTCTCAACCAGTGTCCCGCGTGATCTTCCTAAGTATGCGGCGAAATTTTGAACGGCACACTACGAAACTGCAAAAAAAACCACGTGATCCTGATTGAGAATTCACTAGTATCTACTGATAAGTTCTAGCTGTGTTTTGCCTTATTTAGTTTGAGTCATTCTATGTCTCTATGACTAGTTTCTGTCAGCGGTTGTATGTCGTCTGACTTGCCATGTTTTTATTTTGCAAAATTCAGATATTTTTCATATATATTTAGCCAGGCGTGCCGTTATTTTTTCGTGTGTTCCAAGGTGTGCCGTTGGCAAAACAAGGTTGAGAACCAGTACTTGTGTGGTGATTCTACTTCAAACAGATCATGTGAAAAATACTATTAATATTGCGTGCAAGGGGGTTGACGTGCACCTAAAGGGGCCCTTGGAAGTTGGAATTCGAGTAGGGTTTATGACCGTCTTTATTATCCCAGTTGGTGCAGCAAAGTAGGACTTTAAACACATTTTATTTAAACAGAGATGAAAAGCATCTACGAATACACTGTATAGCTGATATAGCGATACGTATTCGGTACAAATACTTCTTGAGTTATGGCCCTTGTTACACTTTATAGAACCTTAGGAACCCTCTAACAAATACAGTTATTATCCGATCTGTATTAAATCAACATGCATTATTTGGATAAGTAAAACGAATAATGAATTTCGGCAATTTCCGTTAATAACTTCCAGAGTTAAAGGATTAAGTTTATTGAATTTCAACAAATTCTGATAACACTTCTAGAGCTACGGCCCTTGTTTCACTTTGTAGAACCCTGTGAGTGCTCTAGCGACAAAAGTTATCATCCATACTATATATGGAATTAATATTAGTGTCTTGTAAATGTCCCTTTTACCAAAAGCTTTAATACTGTCTTGTTTTGTAATATCCTAAATGACGTAGTAAATGACGTCACGTGTACTTACTGTCGTCTTTGATGTCGATTAAGTGGAGCGTCAGCCATCGAGGCGCGTCAATATAATTCTTCAGAAAGTGAACAGTCTACGGGATTAGTTGATTCAAATTTCCAATATCCATTAAATTATCCCATACACGTCCATTATTTCATGGTTGTAGATCCTTATATGACGTATATCTACGTATGTTGATACACCCGCTTTCTACAAATCGAATATTCCCTGGAAATTGCATATATGGTGAGAACTGTCAGTCCAATATCCGGTTCTACGAGTAACCGAACTAGAAATTATTTCACAAATATTCTACTCAATATTTCGTTTCAGTTCTAACAATTCTGACAAAAAATCCAGTCTAAATTATGTTTCCATAAAACCTTCAGTCACGAGCTAATAGGTTTTTCCACATGTGTTATAAATAGTGCTAGGCCGGTATTTCCGTTACAGCTAAAATCATCCGGCAAACTTCGACACTCTCCAGTATAATAGTCTCGAGATCGTAGAATATTTTTCTGGGTAATAGAGACTACAGTACCGTATGGCTAGATCCAGTGCGTTAGTTAGATCTATTCGATAAGGTCAACTTGAAGTTTGGTCAAAGGTCACGAGGTGCAAACAAGTCTAGCGTAAATCCGTACCCTTACCCTAACCCTGGGACTAGCCCTTATGCTTACCCTAACCTACAAGTACAACCTCGCCGACAATCACGTGCTCTAACCTTATTATACATCTCAGCGACCTTGAGGAAAATTGAGCTGGCTTTAATAAATTCATTTACCCCACCATACATGTACCAGAGGCTGCCGGGGTTTGCCGAATGAGCTAAATTTACAAACTGATCAGCAATAAATATTCGCTTGGCCACTTCAATCAGTGAAAGTGACGATATCGGGATGATTTTATTCGTTCACACAATTAACTTTTCTTCTTCTGAATATTAAATTTTAAAACAAACTTTTGAATTATTCAGAATTTTTTTTAATGTGTTACCAATATCTGGATAAAAAAAAGACTTCTTTTCCGATTTAGTCTAAATGGGTACCGTACATAAAATGGGTACATACGATAAGGCGTGCGTCAAGAAAGTCAAATCCATATTTGTCTTGGCAAAGGCATCCAGGCAGTTAGTGCATTATTGTAGCAATTGCAACATAGGGACAATTTTATCATTTTTATTGAAACTATGCCGAAGTCCACGTCTACTTTTTTTTTAATTATTTATAGAGTTACGTCCCCTTGTCCAAACTTCCGGTTTACTTTCATGGCGAGAAAATAATTTTTCAGTTTGTTTGTTCAAGTCGTTGTTTTGTTTAAGTATATAAATCATTACAAGCAAATGTGAAGGTCTAGCCTTCAGTAAGTGCTGTCAGGTAATTTAGCCTACAGTAAGGGCTGTCAGGTAAGCATCGGTTATTTTAATCTTGAATTTATCATTTATTTGCCACTGAAAAGCAAAGCATAAACGTATTGAAAATTCAATGAATTGAAATGAAAGATGTCTTTAGATGATGATTTTGATTCGATGCGTTTAGTTTTGTGGACACAGAACCGTCTCAAATTAATATTTACATGTATGATACTTTCAACTTTTAACTTTTTAGAACCTCTGATATTATTGTAATCTACAAGTAGAAATATCTAGTTTCATTAAAAATCATTGTGTTATCATAAATTGGCTCAAATATTGACATGATGGCTGTGTATGGATGGGTATCACGTCATTTGGGACTCACGTCATTTGGAACTCAACATAAACGACATTTAGGACTCAGTTGACGACGTTTGGGACTTGATTGGCGTCAATTGGGACTCAACACAAATGACATTTTTAACTCAATATAAACGTAGCGATGCCAAACGCCGCTAGAGGCGCTGGCTGTCCTATTATTGGTGTGCTAAAAAACCTGACCGAAAAATGTACCGTTTCTACTACGGGGTCTCATGAATATTCAGGAAGTCAAAACGTGGTCACGTGGCACTTTTCCGGAACCTGGTGAGCTGAAGTTAGCGGACTGCCATAGCAGGTAAGATTTTGATCGAATTTTCGCTTATTTTTCTTGTTTTTAATTTTTAAATGTAATAGAAACTTTGAAAAAAAGAGCATTCCGCTCGAGATATCGACATTTTTGGATAGCCTGGTATATATTTTGTTTAGTTTGAGCTTTTGTTTTGCCAAAATCCCCCGTAGGAATTGGCAATAAGACGGAAAGTAGAACCGGGGAAGAATCAGGGAAAGACAACTCTTGGTAGGTGCGTGTATGGGATCAGACCACAATGAATGATTTATTTTTTTTTAACCTAACTTTTGCAAACTTAAGTGTGAACTATTTAGATGTTTTTGCAAATTTAATAACATTACTTGTAAAAAAAAATGGACTTTTGAGAAAAATATATCCCCAAATATTGAAATAAGACTGACTTGGCATAGGCAAAATGAAAATGTGTATCTCATTTATTTTAAAGCTTATATTTACTATGGAAGAAGAGTATTCACAACCATTATTCATAACAGATTCTGAGGAGAGTGAAAAAGAAATTGGAGAAAGTGAATCTCAAGTAAGGCATTTCAATCTGTACTTTAGGACAATTATTATACTATGTTTATTTGATGCAGCACTCTTTTATTATAACTTTAAAAAACATAATCGGAAGAGGCCAGTGATTATATTGCTCTGTACCAAATCAATTTTATTTTCCAGGCACAGACGCAAGCTCCAAGATTCATGCCACTTTTCACTCCACGCTTTAGTTCTGAGAATACAGCATTGATATTTTTTATCACTGTATGCAATTTTTTACTCATTGTTGTACATCTTTTTTTTTTAAATTTTATAACCAGAGATATTTGTTATTTATAGAGAAGGGGTGATTCTTTCTTTAATAATGTCATAACATTCGATTACTTATACATGTAACTTTTTGTATTTGCATATGACTTTGATGACGTCCAGTCATGCCAAAAAAGAAATTATTTTGTCATGTGTAATCCCTGTGACTATATCATATATTGTTAATTTTTTTAAGTTTTATATTTTTGGTTTTGTAGTTGGTAGTTTTCATATGATTGATGTTGATCATGATACACAGTTTTGTTTTCTGTTATTTTTAGATTTAGGTCATAAGTTTTCACCCAGAAAAATTCTGTTATTTATTTATTTTTGTTGATTTTAAGTTTTATTGATTTTGTTAATTGAAATAAAGATATTTTTATTGATCATAATACTTGTGATTTTCCATTCCTGAAACAACTATTTTTGTCTGTGTGTTTTGCATGTGTATGTATCCAGGAAAAAACTGTGAATATTTTGATAGCCTCTAGACCTACAGGGGGGTTGGATGGCTGAATGGTTAGCGTGCGCGTGCTGTATCATAAAGTCTGTCATTGAGTCGACTGGCGTGGTTTCGAATCCCCGGTTGTACGTGACGAGGAGTAGGGTCGCCTGTCCAACCTCGTGGGTTTTCTCCGGGTCCTCCGGTTTCCTCCCACTGCTAAAGACCCCTACGCGCAAGCGAATTATTGAAATAAAATTAAACCATATGTTAGTACCGAAATGACCTAGTTTGTGTCGAGTGGACGTTAAACCCCATTTCTCTCTCTCTCTCTAGACCTACAGTTGACCCGTGACCTTACACTTTCTGTATGACCTTGACATGGTATAGTCAAAAAATGCAATTCGAGTAGCTGATGCCTAATAAAAAAACACGATAACAATGTGAAAACATTATTTGTGTATCTATCACATCAAAAAACGGGTTGGGTAAATATTTCAAAGCCCTGGGACTTCTACATGGTTTGTTATTAACTATCACGTCATTTTTTTGCTGTGACCTTGAACGAAAATTGTCTCGGTCGTAAGTTTGAGAGTCTGTAGCACACACACTATATAACCGAAGAGTCTCCCGATAATTTGATTCAATCCAGTACATCTTGAACTTCAAATTCTGCAAGTTTCGTGGATCTACCTATTATAGTGTCTGAGATATTAGCTTCGGTCAGGTTTTTTACGTTTTTAAAAAAAAGCCGTATTTTGGTGCCTCCAATTCGCGGTCTTCAAAATGCCATAACTTTTTTAATTTTCCATATTTTTTCAAAATTCTTTCAGATTATTGAATCTAAATAGTTGACGCATGCAGTGCAATAATCATATTAGAGACATTTTGTGTATTTAAAAACCCTTTGGCAATGCTAATAAACGACAGTTGGGACTATTTATTTATGAGATAACAGCTGTCTTAGTTGTCTTTCGTTTTATTTAGTTGATCGGCGATTGTTGAGAACGCGATTAACACTGCTAGTTTTCCTTTGTTTTGTTTTATCTGCGAGTATAAAACTTGACAATAATATATTGTTCAAAATTTGTGTATATTTAGTAATACTTCGTTGTTTTTCTTTTATCAAATAGTAAACGAGCTTCACTGACCGACCACTGCTAATGTTTTTTCGTGAAACGGTATAACTGCAATCAACACACGGCCGCCATTCTCGATGATTGACAACTCACGTTTTTCCTCATCCACCAAAGAAACCGTTAGGTTTCTTTGAACATACTGTAATAACATTGGGATTATTAGTTAATCAGCTTTAATTATCCCGCTTTGATCGTTGCCATTTCTTATATTTTCCACAAAAAAACTTTGCCTTGTACGCACTAATTTATCGATTGGTATTGCCATCTACGACAAGCATGTCATTGTGCAGCTCACGGATTATCGTTAACAATTTTTAGGGGCTTGTAAAAAAAGATTGCATGTCGTGTAAATATTTATTTTGTTTTTTGTGTAGGTCATTTTCAAATAAATTCATCAGCATATTATTCGTTTTAAATAAATATATAACTTTTATGAGAAACGATTATTATCAAAGAACCGTAAGTGCAACTAATGTTTTATCGTTTGGTTGAGTCTTTTACTAACCACGTGTTTCATGTTAATAAATATTTTCTTTCGTGTTTTGAATTGGCCTACAGTATTTCTAATAAATTATCCCGAGTCCGAAACGTTGTATACCCGAGTCCCAAACAACGTATACCAAAGTCCCAAACGTCGTATACCCGAGTCCCAAATGTCGTGGTCATATTTTTTTGAGTCCCAAATGACGTGAGTCCCAAATGACATGTAATCTGTGTATGAATACTTCTGAATAGAGCTAGAACTTGAAGGGAGGGGATGATTTATCCAAGTTTCAACACATATATCATCACAATAATGTACATGTATGTCGACATTTGATAATATTTTAGAGGTGTTAATTCTCTCTTCGGATATAACAGACTTCGAATGTGTACCCGAACATAAATGTATACATATATCGTCAATCGTCATACAATACAGTACTGACAGGCCAGTTACTGCCCTTAGTAAGAGATCCTAACTAGTGAATGCCATCAATCAATGTACAAATTTTGTTATATTTAAGGAAAATCAGACAATACTAAAGGATAAATGTTGTAATTAAAATTGACATGTCGATAGAACAACAATGCATAAAATATTAAACAATATAATAAATCAACAAAAACAATTGATTGGATTAACGTCGTCACCAAATGTTGAGTTGAAAAGTGATGACAGGTTAACGACTTGCTAGCCAGTTGATCTTAAAGTGGTTAATTTAAGAAACATTAATTATCTTAGCGAATGGTAGATTATCACACCATTAAAATATACCATTTTTATGCCAAATTGACATCTTGAGTTTAGAATTGTAACCTTGTATTAAAAATGCCCCTCGATATGCAATTTCCAACTAGTTTAGAAGTTGTAACTAACCGACATTTTTAATCTAAAATTATAACATATTTCTGTTAAAATTGTCCCTCCAAATGTGATTTCCAACTACAGTAAACCTTGCATAAGTCGGATTGGTATAATTCGGATCTTCACTCAACTTGGATAAAATTGTTTGGACCCTTTGATCCTGCACGTTTTTCTTATTAAATTTCTGCGCGTAAGTTGGATTTGCTAAGTCGGATCTTTGCTCAACTCAGATCAAAATGTTTGGTCCATTTGATCTAATTCAGGCTTTTTTTCCTTCGTCTAAGTCGGATCGGCAGAATGTTTACAACATCCTGTTAAAAATATTTCCCTCTCCGCCAAACGGCCTGGCTGACGCCATTGAAATCCAAATACAAGACAGCGCACAAGACGAAACGAAATTGGAATTTTGAAAAAAATTGATTGTAATTGAGCTAGGAAAAGCAATAATTGGCTGAAGTTTCTCAGCTTTTCAACGATTCTAATTTTTCCCCACCCCGGCTTGCCTAAATTTCGTTTCGTCTTATGACCAAGCCATGTAAATCTGTACGCCAGCCCACATCTAGATCTTAATGGCGTCCGCCAAAGCCGTCTAGCGAGGTAAGCAAGGTCTTATTTTCTCACTAAATTGTTCTGTTACATTGTTCAGGCATTAACAGAGACTGACACACGACCGTTTAGCAGTAAAAAATTGCCCAATAAAATTGACTGGGAACCGATTTTATTTCGACAAGGATTTAATAGGACTGTTCCTGAACGTACATGGCAATATGAGACCTATGTTCAGAGCTGAACTAGGTCTTCGGCTAACTCAGATCTTCGCGTAACTTGGATAAAATTGGTCAGATCTTCGCGTAACTTGGATAAAATTGGTCAGTCCATTTAGATCCGACTTATGCAAAGTTGAGTGTAGTTTGGAAGTTGTGGAAGTGTCTTGTATATTACACTAAATAGGTTATTTACCAATCACATTATGAGGGGCATTTTTGACACAAAAATTCTATAATTTTAAATTTAACATGATAATTTGGCATGAAAAACAGAATCAAATATTGATATAAATTATTGTGATATGAATCTGGGTAATTTGGGTAAATTGTGCTACTGCAATAAAACTAACTGGAGTGGGGGCTTGCACTTACTGGCTGTTTTACGTTGACCCTTGCGAGGCCCTCTGTTCTTAACTACTGGAAAGGGAGAACCACGCTGGTTAATCTGAATGAACTTTCTCGGCCAATGCAGGGATTGAACCAGGACATCCAGGTTAGCGAGCGAGACATCATCTTAATGACTGAGTCACTGTTGCTCCCTGGTTTTAAGAGATTTGTTGATAAAGATTATTAGACTTTGAGGAGTTTTAGAGTTGGTACTATCATGGTCGGTCTGATACGCACTGTGTCCCGTTTTTGAGTGGGTACTATCATTGTCAGTCTGACACGCACCCTGCCCCGTCTTTGAGTGGGTGCTATCGTAGTCGATCTGACACGCACCCTGCCCCGTCTTTGAGTGGGTGCTATCGTAGTCGATCTGACACGCACCCTGCCCCGTCTTTGAGTGGGTGCTATCGTAGTCGATCTGACACGCACCTTGCCCCGTCTTTGAGTAGATGCTATCATAGTCGATCTGACATGCACCCTGACCTGTCTTTGAGTGGTTGCTATCATAGTCGATCTGACATGCACCCTGACCTGTCTTTGAGTGGTTGCTATCATAGTCGATCTGACATGCACCCTGACCTGTCTTTGAGTGGTTGCTATCATTGTCGGTTCGACACGCTCTCTATCCTGTCTTTGTTTCATCTTATAAAAAGCTGTAATGAATTTGAACGACTATTTAGTTTATAATTAGTTTATCTTCTAGTGATAGTAAATTATTTTCATGAAGAAAATAAAACAAAAACAGGGGTTTAACATCCACTTGACACAAACTTAGATAATTTTGGGACTCATACATGGTTCAATTTTACTTCAATAATTTGCTTGGGTGTAGAGGCTTTTAGCAGTGGAAGGAAACTGGAGGACCCAGAGAAATCCAACGAGCTGCGAATCAAAACCACCAATAGGGCTACTTTGAACAATTTTGAATGTGAGGAAAAGTGTGTTTTTAGCTTGTGGTCCCCCGTAGAAGTAGCAATTTTTATCCGATTTCAAAATACATTTGAAAATATTACCATTGCACCCCAATGATGGTTGAGTTCGAATTTCTTGAAAATCGGACCACCGAACAAAATGATTGCCCCTCGTACCCAAAGATGGTAAATCAAGATTTTGGACCCTCTAATTGCTACAATTTTGATCCGGTTTTGATAAAACTTGAAATGCATGTTTATAACCCAAAGATCTTGGTTCCTTTCAATATTTGCGCATATCGGATCGTACATTCCTGAATTATGGCCCTTGATTGTATGAAAAAACAGGTTTTTTGCTTGTGATCCCACTAAACCTCACAATTTTTATCCGATTTAAATAAAAAAAAATGTTTGTATATATCACCATTACACCGTAATGACGGTTGAGTTTGAAAATCGAACCGAAACTACCTGACAAAATGGTCGCTCCTTGTACGCAAATAGTATAAAAGTATGTAATACTAGGGTTGTGGACTCTCTAGAAGTGACAATTTTTATCTGATTCTGATGAAACCTAAATCATATCTTTATATCCCATTTATCTCAGTCCATTTGATATTCGCGCCTTTCAGACCATAACTTCCTTGATTATGGCCCCTGATTGTGCGAAAAATCACTTTTTGTTAGCTTGTCTCTATTCATCTCTTGCAAATTGTGGACATATCTTGCCTGGCAACCGCTGGTTTTATAAGAACAAATAAATGAAAAATACAAAATGCTCAAACAATATATTGAAAAACGTTCAAAGTACATGTACCCCAGTTGATGGTACCCAAGTCAGTGCAGAATGATTCCACAACATGAACAACGTTAAAACCCATTTTACTTGTTTTTTTTATTTTTAACAGATAGGAGTAAAAATGTCAGGCGATATAACAGGACCGTCCGCATCTAGGAGAAAAGCTCTGAAAGTCGCCGTGGCAGCACTTTGTTCTGAAAATGGGTTTACATCCTCAGATGATTCTGCTCTGGAAACTTTGACAGAATTATTACAAAGTTGTAAGTTTTAACAGTCATGTTATTCAATACATTGTTGAACCAGGAAATACTGGTACATCCTTCATCTTCTAATTATCTTCTAAATGGCTGAATGTATTGCTTTGGACTTACTTCTGGGGTGCTACAGTCACTGAGAAGGGCTTGGGTGATACAATCACTGAGAAGGGTAGGGGTGAAACAGTCACAGAGGGGCCAATTTAAAGTGCACATAAGATGGGTTTGAGAACTCTTGGATATGTGTAGCCAATGGTTACTATATCAACTTTACGGCAAGTTCACACCAATCTGATTGAAATTAATTCAGTTATCTTCACTCAAAGTCGTAAAAATGAACCTCCCGTGAAAACGACTTTGCCAATTATTGAAAACACTCTTAATCCCCTCAGACGCCAGTGACGTCACAGTGACCGAATGCATATTCGGAATGTTTATTCCTTAATTACCTATATACAGCCAGCGTGTGTACTCATTAACGCCTGACTGATTCCTTAATCTCCCTTAGTTCTTAAAGTGCACATAAGATGGGTTTGGGAACTTTTGGATATGTGTAGCCAATGGTTACTATATCAACTTTACGGCAAGTTCACACCAATCTGATTGAAATTAATTCAGTTATCTTCACTCAAAGTCGTAAAAATAGACCTCCCGTAAAAACGACTTTGCCAATTATCGAAAACACTCTTAATCCCCTCAGACGCCAGTGACGTCACAGTGACCGAATGCATATTCGGAATGTTTATTCCTTAATTACCTACATGTATATACAGCCGGCGTGTGTACTCATTAACGCCTGACTGATTCCTTAATCTCCCTTAGTTCTTAATTAAATAAAACAATTGACTACGGAATAATTCGTTTTGTAATTCATTTTAATTTAAGATCCAATTTAGATTGCCTACAACTTTTAAACTTTGAAGTCTTGAACTCTTAATTAATTTTTTACAATATGGAACTTATTGGACGAACACTTTTAATATGTAAATAATATACCGGTCCAGCTATGTGTTTTTTACTGCGAGCACTTCGCTTTTCCACATAAAGTGTAGTGTCGTTAATATTTGTCATTAATTAATCAATCCGACTATAAAAGTTATACAGGCATGGGTTTTAAATTACACGTCGGTGTTAGCAGTGAGTGTTAGTGGGATTAAGAATGTTGATTAGGTAATTATCTTTTTTTACGCCGGCCAGATCAAAGACATCACTCTAAGTGGAACGTGTGCAAAATACCTCATGAACGAACTAATGGTAGAATGGTACACCCACACATTAATTGTATAACATCATTAAGTTTTACTCATCAGTTGTTTAGAATAATTATTTACCCAATAATTATTGGTCACCAGTGTTTTTGTAACCAAGTAGCCTAGTATTATTTGTTGATTGGCGTTTAAACAACAATCGTTTATCTTCTTTTTAATAAAAGTATTTTACAATTGCATTGACAGTTTAATCACTCACCAAACGGCACCAGGAACTCCACGTATGATCCCGTGCAATTTTCGTGCCGTAGTTTAACCTCATTTACTACACCCGTAGTACATGTAACTGTAAATGGTAATAAGATTCCCAGCGTTGATTGGCTGAGAAATGAGGGCGATCTATTGTACATGTTATGCATAGTCATCGGAAAATTCCATATTCACTGTAAATTTCAAATGGAGTTACGATAAAAGTTGTTCTTTATGTATAGAAATGGTTATTATTATTATATATAGCTAATAATGAATATATCGACAAATGACTGGCACCATTATATCAAGTATTACGGGGTTATCCAAATTACCGGTAAATGCGCTAATTTCTTGAGTCGTCTTCATTTGACATGTGGCCTATTTAAACAAAGGCATCTTAAATGGATCTACGGCATTTGAAATTCACTCTAAAATATTCCAATCACAAATGAAAGACGATAATTCGGTGATTATGATTAGGCCAGTCACGTGGTAATTGGACCGTCAACAGACGCTTGTCAACTTGCCGTGTGTATTGATAGTGCTATATTGTACAGACGGTGAGATATTGTATAGATAATGTATATCCTATGTGTAGTGCCTGTGACGTCACCAGCCAATCAACCGGATTAAGGTCGTAATTGAAAAATTGAAAAGCGTTTTGGCGTGTCGGAGAAGTTGCCATAAAGTTGATATAGTAACCATGGGCTATACATACATGTAATTTAGATTTTTGATCTTACGTGGTCTTTAAACAATTTAGACATGCATGTACTCTTTAGATAATAAAATGTGTCATTGAGTCAAGTGGGCGTGGTTTCAATCACAAACTTGTACATGATGAGTGAATTATTGAAATGTGATTGAACCATATATTAGTCCTATAATGACCTAGTTTGTGCCAAGTACATAATTTGGCTTCAAAGGTGCAGGGTAGGGAACATACGGTTGACTTCTTCTGAAGGAACAGAAAACTATTGACAGCACTGTAAAGATCAAATGGCAGCCATCTTCAGGTCAAACTTTCTCCCTTAAGTATATAGTATAGTATATACAGTACTATGGTATGGTACAGTGTATATACAGTACTATGGTATGGTACAGTGTATATACAGTACTATGGTATGGTACAGTGTATATACAGTACTATGGTATGGTACAGTGTATATTCAGTACTATGGTATGGTACAGTGTATATACAGTACTATAGCATGGTATATACAGTACTATGGTATGGTACAGTGTATATACAGTACTATGGTATGGTACAGTGTATATACAGTACTATGGTATGGTACAGTGTATATACAGTACTATAGTATGGTATATACGCAGCTATAGCATGGTGTATACGCAGCTATAGCATGGTGTATACGCAGCTATAGCATGGTATATATGGTACTACAACATGGTATATACGATACTATAGTATGGTATATACCATGTATATACAGTACTATAGTATGGTATATACGCAGCTATAGTATGGTATATACGTAGCTATAGTATGGTTTATATGGTACTACAACATGGTATATATGATACTATAGTATGGTATATACCATGTATATACAGTACTATAGTATGGTATATACGCAGCTATAGTATGGTATATACATGTATACTGATGTCCAAAAGAAAGTATACACACTAAAAGTATGACTAAGTTTTGTTTAGATTAAAAACATTTGATAAAGCATTACTGAGTTTGTCTCTTGCGTCCAAACTCAACATTTCTAAGCAAAATAAAAATGTGAAACAAATTGACATTCTACTCAAATACCGTATACCATGGAAAAACAACTTTGGTTGATGCAGCACAAAATGCACAGTGTATACTTTCTTTTGAACATTAGTGTACATGGTATGCCATCTTTATTAGTCTGGTTGATGCAGTTACAACCTCGTCCCTACAATTTATGAGGAATTGTATTCATGATGATTTTGTATTCATGGTGAATTGTATTTTTAATGATTTTGTTATTTTAATGATTTTGTATTTTTTTTAGTTTTAACTGAAGTTGGTAGAAGTGCTAGAGCTTATTGTGAATTGTCAGGACGAACAGAAGCTATGGTTAGTGATGTTGCTATGGCTTTAGTTAACATGGGTAAGTACATGAGTTTGAGTGTAAAGGCAGCAAACAATATCCGGTGATTAAGATGGGTGAGCCTCGGTGGCGTTGGTTTACTAACCTAGAGGTCCTGTGTTCGATCCCTGAGATGGCCCGAGAAAGTTAACTGAGATTTTCTGCCATGTTTCTTCCTCCCAGTGGTGCAGGACAACGGTCTGGCAAGTGACCATGCATAGTAGTTCGGATGGGATAGAAAAAACCAAAGTTCTGTGTACCCATTGGTGTGTACGACTGTACGTTTTGCAGAGAAAAGCTAAAGTCCTGTACATGTAAATTAACCTTTGGCTGTCGGAATGCCACTGCCTTGGTAAAATTACTCTCATAGTATACTGCATGGTGTATACTAATCTTCATTAGCCAAGTTTGTGTAAACTTGTATCGGAAAGAGATCTATAAATATGTAACATACAGACTTCATGATGAGAAATCTACAATATACATTGAGCTAAAATCTAATTGTGAGAGACCATGCAGAACTTGAAAATAAAAAACCCTGATAACGCTGGGTGTCAGCAATTTATCAATGTACCCACAAGTATATAATATTTTCTATTTGCTGCAGGTTTCAACATTGAATCACTTGATATTTTCTATTTACTGCAGGTTTCAACATTGAATCTATTGCAGGCCATGCTAAAAGACCCAATAAATCCGTTTTTATACCACGTAAGTTGTATCATTATATTGTACTTATTCATTGGAGTAGCCGCCGTGGTTCAGTGAGTAAGTCATTGGCTCGGGTTCGTTCCTAGAAAGATGCTTGGGATTTTTAAACAATTGTCAGTTATACGGGAATGGGATGATAGACTAAGGTTTATTGCTGTGCACTTAAAAGAACCCTTTGGATGTTAGAATTGAAAATAATAGTATTCATAGTAAACTGTATGGTGTATGCCAGCTGGTGAGATAGTATGATGTGTTACCAGGTAACCCATTTCATCCATCCAGCTGGTATGATCGTCGTGATACCTGGTAACCCATTTCATCCATCCAGCTGGTGAGATCGTATGTTGTGTTACCTGGTAACCCATTTCATCCATCCAGCTGGTGAGATCGTCGTGTTACCTGGTAACCCATTTCATCCATCCGACTTGTGAGATCGTCGTGTTACCAGGTAACCCATTTCATCCATCTGGCTGGTGAGATCGTTGTGTTACCGGGTAACCCATTTCATCCATCTGGCTGGTGAGAGCGTTGTGTTACCTGGAATTGTGGTTGTGTATTTGCTGTTGCGTCTGATGATCTGTCATCCACAATTTTCTTGTGAATACTCTTCAGACTACTTTTATTATCTAGTCAGTTTAAAATTTATATATATTTTCATTGGAACAATTTCTGTTAATTACTTCTAGAGTTATGCCCCTTGTTTCACTATGTTGAACCTTGTAAATATTCTAATGACTTAAGTTATCATATGATCTAAATAAATTTACTTGTACTATTGAATTTCGGGGGTTGGATGGCTGAATGGTTAGCATGTGCAGGGACTAGAAATTTGTCATTTTTGGCAAGAATCTAAGAGGATTCGCATATGTGGAATCTGCACGAATCCTCCGAATCTTAATTAATAATAGTGTCTAAAAAAACAAAACTGTGTTTATTGTGTTAATCTAAAACACCAAAATACAATTATAAAAAAAAAAAAACAGATGGAGTTTTGGGTAAACGCTTAATTGTGTCAAAAGTAATATCCAGAAAATGCGTAGCCAAAATATGCTGATACAGCACCATGGCATTTCTTTATAGCAAAATTGGTAGACTTTTGTCCATAACGTAACTAGTCACGTAACTTGCAAAAGATTTTATCATTCGTCGATGATAGACAAACAGCACAATGATCACATGACAACCATAACTGATATTGCTCTATTTAAATAAAATTCTGTACGACCATAATATAGCCTTCAATAATATTTTTAAAATTAAGCCTCTGTCAGCATGTATATAGAATTTAAAAAAACATAACGGTAAACGCTATTTAGAACTGGTTTATTGACCTACTTCTATCCGATATGTCACATGTCATTGGAATTCGGCATTCGAGATTCTGTTGGGAAAATATCCACTGTTTCTCTCCCCGTGTATTTGGTGTTCTATCAGGGGATTATATTCAATGAAGATTTAAATGTACCTAACAGCTAGTCAGTGAATCCATCAATGTATGATCCAGTTATTATTTTAATAACTACCTGTACCTGGAATTTACACGGCGGAGTATGGAAGATGTGTGATTTGCAAACCATGCCATGATCGTCTTCATTCACCATGTGGCATATTTTACTGAACCTATTACGAATTATTAGCAAGCTTGTTTTGTTTTTTTTTACTGGATTATCAAAATCACCGTTAAATGTGCTAATTACTCGGATTATGAACCACATATGACCGATTTTCACTAAGGTATGACTGTTGTTGAAGCCAACACTTAACAAGTAATAATTAACGCGTTGTAATATTAGCCAAAAGTAGATTGATTTATGATACCATGTGGCCGATTCATTGTTTTATCAATTGACTAGATTAAACATCAATCAGGTAAATCTCACAAAATACAGCCGATTAAGAACACTGACCCTGACTGACATTCAACAGTTGGACTCGACAATTCTCTGAGATTTTTTTTTTTTTTTAAGAAAAATTTTACGAGAATCCTTATAGATTTGCAGGGCAAGATTTTGCGAGAATCCTTGCACGAATTAGATTCGGAGATTTGCGTGAATTTCTAGCCCTGAATGTGTTCACTGTATAATAAAGTCTGTTATTGAGTCAACTGGCGTGGTTTCGATTCCCTGGTTGTACGTAACAAGGAGTAAGTTCGCTTGTCCAACCTTGTTTGTTTTCTCTGGGTAATCCAGTTTCATTCAACTGCTAAAGACCCCTACGCGCAAACAAATTATTGGAATAAAATTGAACCATGTGTTAGTCCCGAAATGACCTAGTTTGTGTGAAGTGGACGTTAAACTTAAACCCCATTTCTCTCTCGCTCCTCCCTATTGAATTTCAGCAATTTGCGTTTATAATTTCTAGAGTTATGACCCTCTATGATCACTTTGCTGATCCATGTGAACGTTCTAACTACATGTAATACAGTTATTATCCAATCTGTATGAAATTTCACATGCATTATATAAATTAGTAAAATTAATAAGCCTTCTTTGATTGGCATTTAGTAATTGAACATATTAACACAAGGTACAATTTTATGGATACACAATTACTGAGTTTAATACTAAGCGACGTTTTGGCCAGGATACTTTCGTCTTTATCAAGCAAATGATGCCAATTTTCTCGAAGTCCTCCAGTTTTCTCTCACTGTGTTGACATTGAGAAGAGCTATACATGTATGTTAGTGTTCAACCAGCACGAAGCAAATTATTGAAATAAGATGTCAACCATATATTAATCCCAAAATAACCTAGTTTCTCTCTCCCCCCTCCTTCTCTCACTCCCTGATTGATGGATCGTTTTATGTTTTTCAGCTGCTCAGATGACACAGCCAGTGATTCACAAAACATTACAAGCTGGAGAACGAAAAACACATCCTTCACATATTCCAGATCATCTTCCTCAGTTCCCTGATCCTCATACTTATATCAGAACATTGGTAAGAACACTTCCCTGATCCTTATACTAAAACATTGGTAAGAACACTTTCCTGATCCTTATACTAAAACATTGGTAAGAACACTTCCCTGATCCTTATACTAAAACATTGGTAAGAACACTTCCCTGATCCTTATACTAAAACATTGGTAAGAACACTTCCCTGATCCTTATACTAAAACATTGGTAAGAACACTTCCCTGATCCTTATACTAAAACATTGGTAAGAACACTTCCCTGATCCTTATACTAAAACATTGGTAAGAACACTTCCCTGATCCTTATACTAAAACATTGGTAAGAACACTTCCCTGATCCTTATACTAAAACATTGGTAAGATTGGTATTGAATCTCAGAACTTCTTGTTAACAGTTGGAATACGGTACAATCTGTGTGACCAGCCAGTGTTCCTTTTCACCGACATCTGTACATCTAATTGTAAGCGGTCACAATACCCCCCCCCCCCCCATAGGAATCATTTGGTTTTATCTTTTTAATCAACAGTCACTCCTCTAACGCAGTGAGCAATCACTGTTTTAGTCATAGATTTAATAAAACATATCAGAGATTTGAGTCAACCAATTTTCGCTAAATAGCGAGTTTCAGCGACGACCAAATTTACAGATGCTAGTATCAGTGTTTGCTCCTGATGCATCCAAGCTTAAATTAGTACTTGATATCAGTACTAACAAACACTGAGATTTTATTAGGTACTTTCGGATGGGACGAAAAACTGAGGACAGTGTATAGTGTACACGTAAAAGATCCCTGGACAGTTGGAATTTGATAGCATTGCGCCACTGTCCGGGTAAAATTTCCCTCATTGAACATTGATGGCGTAGGAGGTTAAACCCCATTTCATTTCATTTCTAATTGGATGGCCGAATGGTTAGCACGTGCATGCTGTATCATAAAGCCTGTCATTGAGTCAACTGGCGTGGTTTCGAATCCCCGGTTTGTACATGACAAGGAGTAGGGTCGCCTGTCCAACCTCGTGGGTTTTCTCTGGGTCCTCCGGTTTCCTCCCACTGTTAAAGACCCCTATGCGCAAGCGAATTATTGAAATAAAATTAAAACCATATGTTAGTCCCGAAATGACCTAGTTTGTGTGGAGTGGACATTAAAACCCATTTCTCTCTCTCTCTCTCTCTCTCTCTCTCTCTTTCTCTCTCTCTCTGATTATAGAAAAAATGAGTAGTATTGTTTTACCAGAATTTAAAATCTTCTCGTGTTTTATTTTAAGACGCATCAACAACCATTGAATGAATATCAGTTAATGAGAGAGAAAGCAGCAAGTCAGAAACGCGATGTCGAGAGAGCGTTAACACGATTTATAGCTAAAACAGGAAATACCCAGCATTTATTTAAAGATGATCCATCAGCATTTCCATGTAAGTTTTAAATATGAGTATTAAACCCTACATACTACAATATTGTGAAATGGTCATGAATTATGGCCCCTGATTTTATGGGAAATCGTCTTTTTAGCTTGTGGTCACAATTATTATTCAATTTAAAAAAGAAAAGTGAGAATATATCACCGTTGCACCGTAATGTCGTTGAGTTCAAATTTCGTAAAAATCGGACCAAAACTGCCGGACAAAATGATTGCCCCTCGTACGCAAATAGTGTAAATATATGGTATATCAGGGTTGTGGATCCTCTAGAGGTCACAATTTTGATGAAACTTGAAATGTATGATTATAATCCAAAGATCTTGGTTTCTTTTAATATATCAGACCGTAATTTCCAGGATTATGGTCCCTGATTGTACGAAAAATGACATTTTTAGCTTGTAAACCCTCAAGAGGTCATAATTTTTATCCAATTTTAAAAAACGTTTAAAGGTATCACCATTACATCCTAATGTAATGACGGTTGAGTTCGAATTTCGTGAAAATCAGACCGAAACTGCCTGACAAAATGGACATTACTTGTACGCAAATAGTGTAAAAGTATGTAATACCAAGGTTATGGACCCTGTAGAAGTCACAATTTTTATCCGGTTTTGATGAAACTTGGAATATATCTTTATATCCCAAAGATCTCAGTCCATTTCGATATTCGTGCATTTCAGACCATAACAGCCTGAATTATGGCCCCTGATTGTGTGAAAAATCGCTTGATTTTTTAGCTTGTTCTCTATCCATCTCTTGCAAAATGTGGGCGTATCTTGCCTGCCATTCGCTGGTTAATAAAAAAAAAGTATTTTCCTTTTTATACGCCCACACTGAAATGTGGTCGTATAATGTTATCGACCCCCGTCCGTCCGCCCCGGCATCCACAAGGCTAAATATAATATCCGATTGACTTTAGTTGTATACACAGTGTTTAAGGTCATGAGATGAAGAAGCCTATTGATTTGCAGCAATTTCCGATAATTACTGCCAGAGTTATGGCCCTTGATCATTTTGAAAATTCTTGTGGGTGCTCTAGATGCTAAGTTGATATTGCTTTAGGTAATGGGATGCATAAGCCAATTGATTTTCAACGATTCAACGAGTAATGGCCCTTGGTCACTTTGAAATATCTTGTGGCCACTCTAGAGGCTAAAGTTAATATCCGATTGACTTTAAAATTATACACAGTGTTTAAGGTTATGAGATAAAGAAGCCTATTAATATTCAACGATTTCCAATAATAACTGCCCTTGTGGATGCTTTAGAGACCATCTGATTGATTTTATATTTATATGCCATGTTTACACCTTATAACAGTGGTTCTCAACCTTTTTTTGCCAACTGCACACCTTGGAACGCATGAAAAAATAGCGGCACACCTGGCTAAATATATAGGACAAATATTTGAATTTTGCTAAATACATATGTAAAAACATGACAAGTCACAGACGACATACAACCGTAGACACAGACTAGTCATAGACACACCGCATGTCTCAAACTGAATTAAGAAAAACACAGCTATATATGCACCTACCAGTAGACATCAGTGAATGCCCAATTGGGATCATGTGGTTTTTCGCATTTTCTTAGTGTGCCGTTCAAAATTTCGCGGCACACTTAGGAAGATTTTGCGGCACACTGGTTGAGAACCACTGCCTTATATAATCGTCTCAATTGACTTTAGATTGATACACAGCGTTTAAGGTCTTGAGACGAACAAGTACATATTGAGTTTCACCGTTAACTCCATGCTGTTAAATGCTTTGTAAACTAAAAACATTAGCATGGGCCAAACATATTCTAATGATTTTCTGATAATTACTTAATGAGTTGTTAATCTTAATCAGATATTATTGTATTATAAATGTTTCATTACCAACAAAAGTAAAAATATGCGACAACTCTTGTTGACTACCCAGACGATTTTGCTGCTGTGGGTGTATGTTTCATTGCCTGGCAACCTATCTTTAATTACTCAAACAAATTTATGTAAAGATTATGTTTATGAAGTTATCACACAAGCGATATCTATTGTAGAATGTGTGTTGCTACGTGGGTAAGACACTGACGCTAGCTAGCTAGAAGGTCGTGTGTTCGATCCCTGCATTGGCCGAGAATATTAATCGGGATTTTCTGACCTGGTTTCCGCTTGTCAGTGGTGCAGGACAACGAAGCTGACAAGGATAGTTGTCTAGTCGTTCAGATGGGACAAAAAAACAATGTCCTGTGTATACATTGGTGTTCATATAAAAGATCCCTTGGCAGTTGGAATTGATATAAGAGTAGGCCATACTACCACTGCCTGTGTAAAATTTCGCTCACAGCACACTGTGTGGCATGTTTTCCTGTCTTATTTGTAACCTGGTAAATTTTTTTACATGCGGTAGTTATCGAGTCTGTTTTCTTTTTTAAAATAAAAGCATGGCATGGGGTCCCCTTTTTAAAATAAAAGTAGGTCATGCAGGCCCTATTTAAAATAAAAGTAGGTCATGCATCTCCTTTTTGATATAAAAGCAGGTCATGCAGCCCCTTTGACATGGGATTATCTGAGATTCTGAATATTGTAGATTAATCAGTGAAGAACTAGATCATCAATTATACTTTTATAATTTGTTTATTCCAGTGATCGCCATAGCACCATCACCGAGACCATATTTAAACGCTTTATTACCTAAAGATCAGGATCTAGACGCACAAGAACCAGGTGAAACTTATTCAACAGGCTCCAAGAAAAGATCGGACAATAATTCTCAAGGGGATGCGAAAGACGGGGCTCAGACGCAGGAATCGGCCGATCCTGATGCAATTGACAATCCTTATTTACGGCCCGTTAAACTTCCTAAAAAACGCAAAAGATGATATTGAAGAGTTGAGGTTAAATATGATATTATAAACATTGTTCGAGTGTGATATATGGGAATGTAGGCCAATTCAACTTGATGTGCCTGAAGTACGATCGGTAAAAGACAAGATTCAAGATGGCGGGTTAATTCTGATATTATAAACAGTGTTCTGGTTGTGATATAATGTAGGCCTATTCAACATGATGTGCCTGAAGTACGAACGATCGTGGACAATATAAACACTGGTTATGATGTTCCTGAAATTCGATCGATCGTAGACAATATAAACTCTGGTTACGTGAGTAAATGGGGATAATAGTCAGATTACGAGGGTTCCATGTTGAAAATATTCGTGAAAAATCGCTTGACCATTATGTCATCGTTTATCAGCAAAATAAAACGAGTTTGTGCGACTAATTGAGGAGAACTGTCAATCGTGTTTACAAACATTAAGGCTGGGTATCGATAGTGATTTTTACTATCGATAATCGGCAATGCAATGTCGGTCGATAATCGATAGTATCGAAAACAAACTTATTTTCACGGTCGTCATCAAGACTGGATACAGTATAAGTTCAAAGTTCAAAACCATATGAAGTTGTGAAAGATCGTTTGCTCCTGTCTAAGGAGATTTATTTGGAAAACATTAATAAAACTTGTTATATCACGTATATATACGTAAATTGATGTTGTTTATTATTAAAATAATGCAGCCGTGGTTCCGAATGAAGAAATATCGTAAATAATTATGTTAAGGGACCAAAATGAACTTGTTCTGATTCAAAACATTGCGTACGTGCGCGCGAAAATATCAATATGGCAGACGAATTCTGAAGCTTGCAAAGGGAAATAACTCTAACTTTATTTACACATCCAGGTATCTCCGATTTAGCGATATTCAACAATAATTTCTTCAAAACTAAAGTAACGTTTCAATGAGAGTGAATTTATGAAAACGGCTGTTCAATAAGCAGTCACAATTTTGTTATGTGTTACATTGATACTTGATAGTAATTAAAGTGAGCGGTGTATTATGATTAACTGAAAGAAAACATGCACCATGCATGTACTTTGTCCCTTTTGGTTCCAACTGTATCCTTTCTATTCCAGTAGAATACATACACCCGGGGGAATTGACACCACATTAATGATAATATCAAGGGAAATTATTATTGGTCTTTGTTCAGTATTTTATCTTCCACCATCCCTATGAGAACCACTAAAAACATTTATTGTGCTTGGATTTAATATGGGTAGCCATTTTGACAGAACTGATGACAGAACTATCCAGGTCAAGGTTCATTGTAATCCGTACTGAATATGTATGTATGTGCTTCGACATCCTGCTTAGTTAAGAAATAAGTTCCAAGCTTTAGGTTTTTAATTGGATGTTTTACAGAGAAGTCAGAAAAATACCTGACAAAAAGTCAGGAAAAATAATTCGGCACAGGATGAAATGTCAGATTTTTTCCCGAGTTATCCAAGTTTACTTTTTATATGCCTACATTTTCATGTGGACGTATATTGTCATCCGATTTGAACGAAACTTGAAATATAGGTTTATTTCCCTAAGATCTCGGTTCCTTTCGATATTGGCATGTACGTGTATGGGACCATAACTTCATGGATTATGACCCCTGATTGTACGAAAAATGGCATTTTTAGCTTGTGGACCCTATAGAGGTCACAATTTTTATTTGATTTTTTTGAAATTTGAAATGTAAGTTTATAACCCAACGATCGTGGTTCTTTTCGATATTCGGGCATATCAGACCGTAACTTCCTGAATTATGGGCCCTGATTGTATGAAAAATGTTGTTTTTTAGTTGTCACAATATTATCTAATTTAAAAAAACGTTTGAATATGTCACTGTTACACCGTATTGTTGGTTAAGTTCAAATTTCATGAAAATCGGACCAAAACTGCCAGACAAAATGGCTGCCCATCTACGCAATAGTGTAAACATCTGATATATCAAGGTTGTGGACCCTCTAGAGCTCACAATTTTGATCCGATTTTGATAAAACTTGAAATGCATGTTTATAACCCAAAGATCTTGGTTGGAGTCGATAGAGGTAACAATTATTATCTGATTTACTTACAAAAACGTTCAAATATATCACCGTTACACCGTAATCTTGGTTGAGTTCAAATTTCGTGAAAATCAGATGAAAAATGCCAGACAAAACGGCTGCCCCTCTACGCAAATAGTGTAAACATCTGGTATATCAAGGCTGTGGACCCTATAGAGGTCACAATTTTGATCCGATTTTAATGAAACTTGAAATGCATGTTTATAACACAAAGATCTTGGTACCAGTCGATATTCGCACATATTAGGGTTGGGCGATATACCGGTATTTCGGTATACCGTGATAAAATCATCGGCGATTTTATCATATCGGACTTACTTAAAAATATCGAAAAACCGGTTTATCGTGACTTAAAAAAATTATCGCGATTATGATAATTATCATGTCCCAATATTGATGATAATACATCGTCGCTTGGACTAGTAAGCGAGGAAAATGTGTTTGGCAAGGTCAAGGTTGGAGAGTATTTACCCCAGTCGCAACTGTCACTGTTCTGATTTTCAGACAAGTAGATTTTAGAACCCTGCTAGTTCTGGTTACATATTATCGTTATATTAAAACTTAATATTCTGCTTCGACTAACTAGTATGTCATTCTATTGATAGAATTAAATTCGTCTACAAGTATAAAATATAGCATATTACGTACCGGCGGGTCAAGGGTAAATATCCATCATGGCGTCTAGCAACAGTAAAAAAGTGACAACAAGCGACGATTTGCTGCCTAAAAAAAATTCCTCCAGTCCCGTTTGGACTTTCTTTGGGTTTAAGCCAAACGACGTAGACCAGGCCACAATATTCTGCAAAGTTTGCACAAATCCAGTAATGGCTAAAGGTGGCAACACAACCAACCTATATCATCATTTGCGAACACGACACCCAAGTCAGTACAAAAGCTTTTATTTATACGGGATTGCCAGGGTTGATATTAATAAAATAATAAATACAACATACCTTTTTCTTTATTAGTATTTGATACAGTATGCACACAAGACAGGGGTCAAGACCTTAACAAGAATTCAAAATTAGACTTCTATAGACACACGTAAAAATTATCACGATAATATCGTTTATCGTGATATTAGATAAATTATTATCACGATATTTATTTTTCATTATCGCCCAAGCCTAGCACATATCTGATTGTACCTTCCTGAATTATGGCCCTTAATGGCTTTTTGTTTAGCTTGTTCTCTGTGGGCGTATCCTGTCTGGCAGCCGCTGGTTTTGTATACCGGTAGTGAATCAATGGGAAATATCCTGTTGGTTTAGGATACAAGTTATTGCACTCTTTAATATCAAAATAAAAAGTTATTGTAAGAAAGGGTGGGTTGGATGGCCAAATGGTTAGCACGTGCGCGCTGTATCATAACGTCTGTCATTGAGTCAGCTGGTTTAGTTTTGATTTCCCGGTTGTACGTGACAAGGAGTTGAGTGGTCTGTCCAACCTCGTTGACTTTCTCCCGGTCCGCCAGTTTCCTCCCACTGCTAAAGACCCCTACTCACAAGTGAATTATTGAAATAAAATTGAAACCATGTTAGTCCCGAAATGACATAGCTTGTGAACGTTAAACCCCATTTCTTTCTCTATTGTAATGAAAAAAAAGTGGTGTAAAATTTAGGAGATCAACATTTTCTATTTGTTTGTTTTGCACACGGTGGCTAAGTGGGTAAGACGCTGGCTCGCTAGCCTGGAGGTCGCGTGTTCGATCCCTGCATTGGCCGAGAAAGTTCATCCAGATTTTCTGACGTGGTTTCCCCTTGTCAGTGGTGCAGAACGGAGGGCCTAACAAGGCTGCTGTCTAGTCCTTCGGACGATACAAAAAACCGAGGTCCCGTGTATACATTGGAATACACGTAAAAGATCCCTTGGCAGTTGGAATTCGATATAAGAGTAGGCGATAGTGCCGCTGCCCAGGCAAAATTTCCCCCATAGCACACTGTATGGCGTATGCCCGTATGCCCGTCTTCATTAGCTCAGTATATGAGCAAAACAGTAGGATGTTAAACCCCATTTCATTTCATTTCAGTTTGTTTTACAGGGGGTGTTGAATGGGTCACCTTAATCTGGGTAGATGTGTTCTCAAAACTTATATAAAATATTAGTTTATGAATGAACGTGACAGGCGTTTACATTAAGATTAAAAAGATAGTATACATGTTTAGTCGGTTGTAATCTAAGTGATTGTTTAAAATCTTTGCTGCAACAGAAAAAATGTTCTTTTGAATTTGAACCAAAAATAGCAGAAAATGTCTGCTTTATTTTGTGACATGCACTGAATTGCCTTTAGTTGGAGGGGTTTTAAAGGTCTACAAAAAGCAAAATAATAAAGAGTTGTTGAAGTTCATTCATCTGTGAACAATCAAGTTGATAAATCTAAAGAACAACACCAGTTATACCCACGCCATAACTGTAAATTTATTACCTGAACAGCTATGTGTATAGTTTTCACATGCGCTATGAGCATGTTTTGTGGATTTGGCGCTTTAATTTATTATTATTAAATTGTTTACTTAAATAACAAAATATCCTCATTAATGACATCTGAAATATTTGAATAACCAGACGACAAGCCAATAACAAACAGTTTATTTTAAATTTTCGCTGCTGAAATAAAAAAACTGGATTGTTTTGTGGCTAGAAGCCAGTTTTCCATGTTTTCACTGCTGCTGTGGGATACACGGCACCTTATCATTCTAGTGGAAGTCTACATAGGCGTACGAGCCAGAGGGGCAGCTGCCCCCCCCCCCCCCACTTTCGGGCAATCTGACTTTTCGGGCAGACGGGTAAAGTGAAAACAAAAATTATTATTTCATCTAGATGGCAAAATAAAGTGCCCAAAATCTAATTAAACACAAGTTTTACTTTTCTCTTCATTAAAGACCAGGAATTTGTACTGAATTCACCATGGATTAAAACATTTTGCCTGGAGCTACTCTAATTTGTGCCACATTTTTCGGGCATCGATTATTAATTATGAATGCAGTTGCAGCAGTCCGATTGGATGGTTGGAATTCAGGTCGGCATAGGGTGAGATTTCGGTTGGAAACCGATTGCAAACTTTGAATTTGCTTAATTCACGGGCTAGATTAGCAGAAAAACGCATTTGCGGGGGGTAAATTTTCTCGTGGAACGCGGGGCCTCTATACTCCCACCCCCACTGCTTGCTTGCTTGTTTGGAATTCAGGTAAATCACCTAAGGTAGGCTATATTGGACAATAGCAGGAAAACGCGTTTGCGGAAGTTTAATTTTCAAAATTTCCTCCCGACGGACCAATCTCCGTAAAAGATTAATTGTTGGTCGATTGTGGGGGTTGGATGGCTGAATGGTTAGCACGTGCGCGCTGTATTATTGAGTCAACTGACATGGTTTCGATTCTCCAGTTGTACGTGACAAGGAGTAGGGTCGCCTGTCCAACCTCGTGGGTTTTCTCCGGGTCCTCCGGTTTCCTCCCACTGCTATAAACCCCTACGCGCAAGCGAATTATTGAAATAAAAATTGAACCATATGTTAGTCCCGAAATGACCTAGTCTGTGTCGAGTGGACGTTAAACCTCATTTCTCTCCCTCTCTCTCTTACTAACTGAGCCACCGTGACTCCTATTGGAGTCAAAAAAAACGAGACAACATTGACGCTGATTTTTATTTAACTCAGAAAAATAAGAATTATAAAACATTTATTTTAGAAATTTTTTTGAAAAAATAACATGCTGTAGGTCAGAATATAAACTCTAAATATTTCCGGTATCGACAGTCGTGATAGAAACCAATTTAAGCCAAAATAATTAAACATAACACTAGGTAAATCTTATTCCTAATTCAATAGTTTGGTGTATTGAAATCATTAAACAGGATCGGTTTTAGGGGCAGTTTGGAACGTTATAGATGTGATCACATTTATTCTTTTTTTTGTTAAAAACCGAGCCAGGTGCACAAGACATTGGTTCTCCGATTCGTTTACCTTTAGAACAATTATAGAATTTAGTACAATTGGCTGGATCAGCTGTGATACGTCTGTTGATGCAGCCACTGTCTGGAACGCTGTCCATAACACAAGTACGGGCTGATTGTTTCCATACTGTACCAGGTGCGCAGTCACGTAGCTTGGCAACCATGTTATCACATTGGTAGTATTTCGTGTTGTCGAATGGATAAACGAAAAACTTTCGTCCTGTGAGAGCACATGGATCTGGAATAAAATATTTAAATTATATCATTTCTCCCTTTTACGCTATCACAAGATGCACCTAATGTCGGATTGGCTTTGGATGACCGAATGGCTAGAGAGTGCGCGTTGTATCATAAAGTCTGTCATTGAGTGAAATCGCGTGGTTTCGATTCCCCGATTGTACGTGACAAAGAGTAGGGTCGCATGTCCAATCTCGTGGGTTTTCTCCGGGTACTCCGGTTTCCTCCTATATGTTAGTCCCGACATGACCTTGTTTGTGTCGAGTGGACGTTAAACCCAATTTCTATGTCTCTGTGCTGGGGAGGTCTGACATTAAGTGACGGGGGGAGGGGGTAAGGGAGGTTGTGGGGTGGGGTGGGGGTCTGACATTACGTGACATGCGGTGGTATTGATCCCTAAGGGTGTTCTCCGGGTTCTCCGGGCACCTCCGCCCACCACAGGCAAACAATCCTACACAGAGAGAGAGAGAAATGGGGTTTAACATCCACTCGACACAAACTAGGTCATTTCGGGACTAACACATGGTTCAATTTTATTTCAATAATTCGCTGTGCGCGTAGGTGTCTTTAGCAGTGGGAGGAAACCGGAGGACCCGGAGAAAACCCACGAGGTTGGACAGAATCCTACACAGAAGCGAAGTACTGAAATACATGTGACGACCAAGTCAAGAAATGGTCTGACCTGTATCGAGTTAAACCCCATTGCCCCCTTACTCCATTTTGTTTGTAATGTGACTAGGACGTTGTTATACTTGTAACCTGGCCTCCACGGTGGCTCAACCAGTAAGGTGCTTCATCGCTAACCAGGAGTGTCCCATTTCTTTTTGACCGAGAAAGTTTCTCCGGAATTTCCGGCTAGGTCTCCCCATGTCAACAACTTCGGGTCGTGTTTTACTTACTTGTGGTAATCTTTCTACATTACCTATTTACAACTTCCGGGCGTGTATTTTTCTACAATACCTATTTACAACTTCCGGGCGTGTACTTTTCTACAATATCTATTTACAACTTCCGGTCGTGTACTTACTTTTGATAACTTTTCTACAATAGACTGTTGTATCCTGGTTCGGTCTATAACCATCTGTCCAAATCCAGTCAGCTATACCATTCAGAGATCGTGGTCTTTTTCGTCTATTGTTGTAGTCGGGTACTACAGCATTTGCCCAGGCAGCGTCATAAAATCTACAAGAAAGAAGATACAATCATGTTTTCTACATCTAGAAACTTGCGACAACGTAACCAAGTACATGGAATTCGAGTGGATTAGATATTTCTAACCACAAAAGCTCCGCTACCTGTGGCCATAGGCGTACGAGCTGGGGGGGGGGGCCATTTTGGGCACCAAATGCTGGGAAAATTTGGGCACACAATTGTACTTTGTAAAAGTTGTATAAAAAAATGCTGTGTTCTTGAATGTGTCCGATTTAACAGCGAATTTATTATTATTATGTAACATACTAAGAACCTAACTACATTTTTTGGGCACCAACCACCACCGCCTAAAATGGCCTAAAATAAAATGGACTTTTACGTCTTCCATTTTTGCATCAATCGGTTGAATGAAGCATACGTGGACATGCGCATACCTGTCAGGTATTTTTTACGTGCACACAAATGTCAACACCGAATCTCAATTTTGGGTCCCACGTTATTCTTTGCCGGGCTCTCCTTAAGGAATTCCTACATCCCCTATCTTCCCACGGAGAGTCGTAAGGAAGGAGCCATGACGTTGAACTCCCTTATCCGCCTTTGGTTTTAAGTTGGACTCACCCATCTCATGCTTAAAGGTGGACTCGCCCGACTTGTGTTTTCAGTTGGACTCACCCGACTTGTGTTTTAAGATGGACTCACCCGACTTGTGTTTTAAGATGGAGTCACCCGACTTGTGTTTTAAATTGGACTCACCCGACTTTATTCCAATTATCTTCAAATGTAGAAGAACATTTCCACGTCACGTCTGTTTTAGAACCGCCATTGAGTGCCATCTTGATGCCACCAACTCTCCCGGTATTTACGCATTTAATGGCAACAACTTCGGTATCATCGGGAATCCTGACAGGTGATAATCTTGGCCATCTATTATCGTTTGGCGTGGTGGTATAGAGGACACCATCAGCATAGAAAGACATTCTGTTGTCGCATGTTGCAGCCCCGGTGATCACTGATTGAACTGTAATAATCAACATATGACTTCAAATGGGGTTTAAAGTGCACATAAGATGGGCCTGGAAACTTTGAGATACGTGTAGCCAATGGTTACTATATCCACTTTACGGCAAGTTCACGCCAATCTGGTTGAAATTAATTCAGTTATCTTCACTCAAAGTCGTAAAAATAGACCTTCTGTAAAAACGACTTTGCCAATTATCGAAAGCACTCTTAATCCCCTCAGACGCCAGTGACGTCACAGTGACCGAATGCATATTCGGAATGTTTATTCCTTAATTACCTATATACAGCCGACGTGTGTATTCTTTAACGCCTGAAGGATTCCTTACCCCCCCTAATTAAATAAAACAATTGACTACGGAATAATTTGTTTTGTAATTCATTTTAATTTAAGATCCAATTTAGAGTGCCTACATCTTTTAAACTTTGAAGTCTTGAACTCTTAATTAATTTTTTACAATATGGAACTTAATGGACGAATAAATAACCGGTAAATGCGCTAATTTCTTGAGTCATCTTCATTTGACATGTGGCCTATTTAAACAAAGGCAGCTTAAATTGATCTACGGCATGATACGGCATTTTAAATTCACTCTAAAATATTCCAATCACAAACGTCTAATCTATACCAATGAAAGACGATAATTCGGTGATTATGATTAGGCCAGTCACGTAGTAATTGGACCATCAATAGACGCTTGTCCAGTTGCCGTGTGTATTGATAGTGCTATATTGTACAGACGGTGAGATATTGTATAGATAATGTATATCCTATGTGTAGTGCCTGTGACGTCACCAGCCAATCAACCGGATTATGGTCGTAATTGAAAAATCGAAAAGCGTTTTGGCGTGTCGGATACTTAAACGTTAACAGCGGACTTAATTTTAATCAGATTGGTGTGAACTTGCCGTAAAGTTGATATAGTAACCATGGGCTATACATACATGAAATTTAGATTTTTGATCTTACGTGGTCTTTAACTATGGAAGACTAAACGGCTCTTTATTCTTAGTTCTTAATTCTCAGTTCTTAATTCATAGTCCTTAATTCTTATTTCTTCATGTGTTGTCGTATTCCGACATTTGTACACTAAAATTAACATTTGTATTTTAAAATCAATATTATTTCACAAATCAGACATTGAATAAAGAGCTGTTTGGTCTTGCATATTTAACGTCCTACTGTTCTGGTCTAATGAAAACGAGCAGAAGTCATACATTGTGCTATAAGGGGAAGTTTGGCAGGAGGGCTTATTTCCAATTCCAGTGTCACGGGCTATTTTACGAATAAGCCAACGTACACACGGGACCTCCGTTTTTCGTGCCTAAACGCGGCTCGTTAGCGAGTCAATTTCTTACCCACTAATCCAGAAATAAGTATAAGACAACGAACACACACGACCTCAGTTTTTCGTTAGCCAGCCAGGGCCTTAACCACTCATCCAGAAAAAGTCAAAAACTATTTTAACAATATGACCTAGACTACTCACCTCTGTGGAATGTCAATCTGTAAAAAAATAAAAAAAAAATAAATAGTATTTTAAGGTTTTCGAGAAACTGTCCCTAAAATATACTCTATGTATACAGTCCTTTGTGTAGATACACTCTCCTTAAAGGAGCTAGATCTCTATTCTTTGGCACCTAGAAATGGACACAAATGAGTCGCAACGCATATAATAATGTAATATTAATGTATATAAACTGATTTACATTCAATCGAATAGCAGTCTTGAGAGAGAGAAAAACTTAGATAAGCCCATGAAGAGAGAGAGAAAAACTTAAGAGTGTTGGATATTGAACTATCCATGCAATCAATCAAGTGGATTTTCTGAAATTGCATTTTTAAATTAATTTTTCATGGTTGTCAACATCTTGTTTTAGGACTAGTTACCTCCTTTAGACTTTGTTTTAAATGATAATGTAAACCGATAGTCTAGCCAATGACCTATTATTGTCAAATGTTGACAACGCATCCAGACTAATATTCATAGAATATTTTTCTGGATGATAGAGACTAACACACACACTAGTTTGTTGTTCATTATTCGCGAATAACCAACAACGAACAAGTTTGTTGTTCATTATTCACGATATATGGTATTAGTAAAGGCCCTCTTGTAGGGAATACGCCGGGGGTGTTTTTTTTTATTAGCCTAATTGGTTTATAACAGTTCAAAGTCTTGGGAAATATAAACACAGGCGATGAATAGCGCCAGGCTTTTCTTAGAGTGTGGTTCCAGGTGCCAATGGCGTTTATGAATCGTCTGGACCACTCCATGTACAGACGCCGCGCTGTTGTTATTAACACTCGCGGTGGACACACCAGATACTGATGTATAGACTGTGTACAGACTCCAAACCTTCTCATAATGTCTTGAAATTGTGATGAATGTCAACATATACTGTTCACAAAAAATTGTTTTGATTCATTTAGTAAGTCGTTTTCTAGAATGCTGTTTAGTATAGATTCTAACAAGCTGTCGTTGTACGCGAATAACGAGCTGCTTTATATAGGTGAATAAAGAATTAGTAATACAATAAAGGACGCTTTTATAGGAATACGCCGGGGTGGCTTTTGTATGAGCCTAACCATTTGGACGTATCCATGCAACAGGCGAAAACGCGCGCGGAAAACGGGCCTCATTTGTGTGACTTTCGAACCGGCGTATTCCCTACAAAGGCGCCTTTATCATATTACTAATTCCATATCTGGTGAATAACGAACAACAAACTTGTTCGTTTTTCGTTATTTTCTAATATGAAACATCTCGTTATTTAGGTAGAAAGGCAGCTTGTTATAAACCAATACGACTCGTAAAAACACACTTCCCATAAAAGTGGCTTAATTATAATACCTGATGAATAACGAACAACAAAACAAGCTCCTTTTTATTTCTTCTCGAATAACGAACAACAAACTAGCTAATTGTTCGTGATTCGCGAATAACGAACAACGAACAAACCACAGACTAACTTCACGTCGCTCCGTTTTTTCCGTCCCATCTGATCGACTATAGATTGTTTTTTGCCATCCCCTCAGTCCTGCACCACACAGGAAAATCCCTATGAAAGTTGTCGGTTAACGCAGGGATCGAACACGTACAATTATATTATAATACTCACATGGCAACCAGAGCGATGAGAAGTAAACCCAAATCAATATTCAGCTTCATTGTTGGCAGATTCCTTGATTATCTCTCGGAATCTCTGTCTCTCGGTATGAAATGCTTGAATTCTCTAATTTAACACGGCTTTATATAAGAAATCGAATACAATAAAATTGATCAATGTAGATATTAAAATCATTCAGTATAATTACATCTATAATCTTGTCAATCATTGTAATTACATCTATAATCTTGTCAATCATTGTAATTACACCTATAATTTGGGACAATTTTGTTTATAAATAAATCTAAGACGCCCAATAAAATTCTAAAGATGAAAGATGGTATTATCTAATAAACAATCTTAGTATTAACTGAAAATACAAAAAAAAACCGAACACCACTCAGTGCTGTCAATATTTATGCTTGAATACGTTTGTTTCATTAGAAATAAATATAAGATGCACAACAAAAAACATAATTGAAGGCTATGTTATCTACAACAAGCAAAATTAGGGTTATAAAAAAATACGTTATGAAAGTTTAATCTCTAATAGGGGACCAAATAGGGTTCAAGTCGGTTCAATTAACAACCAAAAGTACTACCACAAGCCTCGTTTATGTAACTCTCGAACCGAAATCCCACTATATGTCCTTACCCGATTTCTAGATTGTTTTGGAGTGGAGGCAGAAATAAAATGGCCGATTTGATTTCTCGGAGAGTGTATACAGAGGCATCTTTACGAGACCGATCGAAAACGCACTTGTCTTCTATTTCACACCACCAATACAACAATAATTGGTGTGATAGGTTATTTGTGTAATCAAGTTGTGATTAATTAATAACATTTAACAAAATGCTTCTAATTAAACCAACGTACTATAGACTGACAACTCGATTGTTTCCAAGCAATAAAATGGGGTTTAACGTTTTACTGTTTCGCAAGCGGTCTTTTAATGCATGCCACTCTGTCTGTACACATGACCCCTGTTTTCGTCCCATTCGAACGGCTATACATTGTCTTTGTTTTCGTCCCATTCGAACTGCTATACGCTGTCTTTGTTTTCGTCCCTTTCGAACGGCTATACGTTGTCTTTGTTTTCGTCCCATTTGAACGGCTATACGCTGTCGTTGATTCCGTCCCTTCCGAACGGCTATAAGCTGTCTTTGTTTTCGTCCCTTCCGAACGGCTATACACTGTCTTTGTTTTCGTCCCTTCCGAACGGCTATACGCTGTCTTTGTTTTCGTCCCTTTCGAGCGGCTATACGTTGTCGTTGTTTTCGTCCCATTCGAACGGCCATGCGTTGTCACATTGCAAAGAGGGTCGCTCCAAGATAAGTAATTCCCGGTCCAAAGCTGAAAGTGGTAGAAATGCCCTGTCCATATCTCAAGTATATTATCCTCGTCTCATTTGTCATAGTATCTTTCTTTCTCTTATTTTTTTTTCTGCATTCCCTAGTCCGAGTAATATAAAATTGGAATAAACGGGCTGTCAGATTATATTTCCTTAACTGGGGATCGATCAGAACACCAGAATAATGGCCTGTTATTCCATGACATTCATACTGCGGAACGATCAGAATCGTGTAATTACATATTTCCAGGTCGTTAACAGCTTCATGAGCTCAAAGAATAGGTGGGAGTGGTGGTGGTGGGGTGGGGTGGGGGCTTGTTGAAATACATGTGCTCAGTAAAGATAAGATATTTACAGATTGTCTAGCGTACTGTGATAATAGAGAGAGGGAGAGGGAGAGAGAGAGAGAGAGAGAGGAATATTTGTCACGGAATTTGACACGTAAATAGTCTATACTAAAGTAAAAAGTTTTTATGGATTGAAATTTGGCGTGGAATAGAACCGACAAATGGAGGGCAAAGATGTGGCGGATTCAGCTACCCCCACGACAGGATACAAATCATTTATGGGTTGGGTTAGGGATAGGGATAGGGTAAACGTCTAACTTAGAGCTTTTTGTTGGTTGGTGTGCTGTAGCTGTCACCATTGACACCCCGATTATTCACACCATCTCGGAGGAGAGCCAGGCCACCAAATACCCCGTGCCCGTCACCATCTCGGAGGAGAGCCAGGCCACCAAATACCCCGTGCCCGTCACGGTCTCGAAGGAGACCTAGGCCACCAAATACCCCGTGCTCGCCACCGTGTCAAACGATTTGACCTACACATGATAGAGTAGGGTAAGTGAGATTTAATCTTGACAATGTAGGTTGTGAGAAATGACACGCTTCAATGAAGGTTTATGATTATTCTTTCATAATATTTTATTAACAGTGTGTCAGATGGATTTAACAGATAAAACAAGTACTCCTGAACCAGGCTGGAGTGGGATGTTAAATCATGTGTCGTTACTGGCGTCTTTCTTTATTCCAGATTCAAATGAAAGTATTATTTTTTCTTAGACATCTATCTGATATCATTATTTTTCCTTTCACTAGTATAAGAAGGATACCTCAGCAGTACAAGAAAAGCAATAGGGTTTAACGTCCCCACTTTTCTAAACCGTCTGGGCTAATGATGACTTGCATTATGCTATGCAATTTGAATTCGTGGAGGTTGGAACATATTCAGTGAACATTCTGGAGCAAGGTGAATTCGTACGGCATTCGAGGCACCGTCCAACTAGACTCTAGGTAGTATTTGGACAATATACGCCTCTTTCTAAATATACATCCACGTCCTGTGGATGTATGTACCTTAACCCTTGCCTTGTGGATGTATGTACCCTAACCCTTGCCTTGTGGATGTATGTACCCTAACCCTTGCCTTGTGGATGTATGTACCCTAACCCAAACCCTTGCTCTGTAGGAGACAATATTCCAGGTTCTTTTTCTTCGCCACGCACCACCACCACCGCCACCACTTCATTACGCACCCCTACCACCCCCACCACTTCGTTAATAATACCCCTACCGCCCCTACCACCACCGCCACCACTTCATTACGCACCCCTACCACCCCCACCACTTCGTTAATAATACCCCTACCGCCCCTACCACCCCTTCCACCACCACCGCCACCACTTCATTACGCACCCCTACCAACCCTACCACCCCCACCACTTCGTTAATAATACAACAAACGCCAGGTCATTTCGGGATTAACATATGGTTCAACCTTATTTCAATAATTTTCATGACTGTAAGGGTCTTTAGAAGTGACAGGAACCCGTAGGACCCGGCGAAAACCCACGACGTTGGACAGGCGACCCTACTCCTTGTCACTTACAACCGGGGAATCAGAACCACGCCAGTTGACTTAATGACAGACCTTATGATACAACGCACACGCTAACCACAAGGCCATCCAACCCCCACAAAGAAAGGGAGATCCGGTTTGTTTATAATAAAATTGTTATTATATTGCACTCTGTTTGGTATTTACTGGGGTGTTAAATGGGTCACCTTGACATTTATCTCAAAACTTGTATTAGATATTAATTATTGAATGAACGTGACAGGCGGTTACTAGAAGATTAAAAAGATAGTATACATGTTTAGTCCGTTGTAATCTAAGTGATTGTTTAAAATCTTTGCTGCAACAGAAAAAATGTTCTTTTGAATGCATGTTCTTTTGAATTTTGAACCAAAAATAGCTGAAATTGTCTGCTTTATTTTGTGACATGTATTGGATTGCATTTAGATGGAGGCCCTTTAAAGGGACAATAACACTCTTGCTGGCTTGAAAGCTTCAGAAAATAAATAATATCTCTATCTAAGTATTAGATGTTTAAGTGTCCTACCTGTTGTGTTAATTATCCATTACATCCTATTTTACTTGTCCAGATGGTACGAAAATATTTTTAAATCGAAGTTTCATTTGAAAAGGTTTACGTTAGACGTTTCAAACCATTATGTTGAATTTTTCAAAATTTTTAAATAAGGTGTGTTAAGATGAAATTTGTATCATCAATTAATTGAAATATTCTAAAATGGTACAATTTGTTGACCAGAATAAAGATTGGGACATATTATTCAGTTAAAACAAGAGTGGTGTTGAGCCTTTAAAGGTCTACAAAGTGAAAAAGCAAAATGTTATTGTTGAAGTTCCTTGCTCTGTGAACAATAAATCAAGCTGAAAAATAAATCCAGATTGGCTCTTACATTCAAGTAAATCATTATTTAAACAATTCAATTGTACAAGGGAAATACGTTGAATTTTCCACCTCCAATTAATATTTTACCGATGTGTTTTATCTTTTCAATCTATTTGACACACGTAGATGTAGATAATGAAGGAATGATTATAAACCTTCATTGAAGGGTGTCGTTTCTTACAAGATTAAATCTTACTTACCCTACTCTATAATATGTTGGTCAAATCGTTTGACACAGTGGCGGGCATGGAGTATTTGGTGGCTTGGGTCTCCTCCGAGACCGTGGCGGGCACGGGGTATTTGGTGGCCTAGTTCTCCTCCGAGACCGCGGTGGGCACGGGGTATTTGATGGCTTGGGTCTCCTCCTAGACAATGTGAATAATCGGGGTGTCAGTGGTGTTGGCTACATCACACCAAGCTCAAAGTTAGACATTTTATAGAAATGGTAACTGAATCCGCCACGGCTTTACCCTCTATTTGTCGGTTCTATATTTTCCACGCCAAATTTCGATCAATAACTCTTTACTTCATTCTATAGATTTTTTACGTGTCAAATTCCGGGACAATTATTCCTATTATGACTGTACACTAGACGATATGTAAACATTTGAGTTTTTACTACGCACGAGCGTTTCAACAAAAGCCCACCCACCACCTCTATTCTTTACAACCCCCCCCCCCCATTCTTTGAGTTTATTAAACTTTTAACGGCCCTGAAATATACCATCAATTATTCTGATCGCTCCGCTGTATGACAGTCATAGAATAACTCGTCTTGATGGATTCTCAGTTAACGACCCATAATCGGACATCCCGTTCCCCCAATCTTTCCTTATCTAATAATATCAGTTTTATTATTATTATTATTATTATTATTATTATTACAGCATATTTATAGTGCACCCTTTCATATAACATGTTCAGGGGCACTTTACAAAGTGACAATGTAAATCACACATAAACAACAAGATTATGGGCATGTTAACGATTGTATACAGAGTCAGTTAAAAGCCTGATTAAATAAATGTGTTTTAAGTTGTTTTTTAAAAGAATATAGAGATGTACAACATCTTAAACTAAATGGTAGATTATTCCATAAAACAGGTGCTTGATAACTAAAAGAGCGCTGACCATAGGAGACTAGTTGAACAGTTTTGGGCTTTAAAAGTAGTTTTACACACATTTGGAATGATTATATTAGTTGGATTATAAAATGCAAATAAAAAAAAGAAAGATATTATGACAAATGCGACGTGGATAATAATACTTAAGACATCGACTGACCATTTCTACCACTACTTATCTTTTTGTTTTCTTTAAACAATATTTTTATTCATGATGTCTGAATGGGATTGGGGAACAGGCATAGCCTATGTATATCTTCTCTCCCTACTTATCTTGAGGCGACAATCATTGTAGAAAGAAAACATATAGTCGTTCGAATGGGACGAAAACAGAGGTCATGTGTACAGATTGGCGTGCATTAAAAGACCCCATGATAGGAGGAATTCGATATAAGAGTAGACCGTGGCGCCACTATCCGGGCGTGTGCCCATCTTCATTAGACTAGTTGGTGCGGACGTTAAACCCCATTTCATTTCTTGAGAAAATCCAATTGCCAGTTCATAGTACGGTGGTTTAATCAGAAGGCTATCGATAAATGTTATTAATTAACCACAGCTTGACCACACAAATCATCTACAGGTCCAGATGATATTAATCAGCAAAAGTTTATATAATCACTTTAATCTTTCTCAGGAACTAAAAATTTTCATATTATAAGTAAATTAACGACCCATTACTATACAGAAATTACAGACCACTTTTTGTTGTATTCATGGTTTGAAATAGAAGAAAAATGAGTTTTTCATCGCCTAATTTTCATTATTGTTTTGAAGAGATGCCCCTACCCCCTCCGAGAAATCAAATCGACCATTTCATTTCTGCCTCCCCTCCACGAAAATCTAGAAACCGGGTAGGGACATAGTGGGATTTCGATTCGAAAGCCACAAAAATGAGGTCCGTTTCCCGCGCGCGTTTTCGCCTGCTGCATGGACACGGTTCAATTACATTGGAATTTGACTGACTTTTTGTAAATATTGAACTGACTGCTGTTTTAGAGATTAAACTTAATTTATAACCCTGAGTATCCTTGCTGTAAATAACATTAATTATTTTCAATTTATAACCCTGCGTATGCTTGTTGTAAATAACATTGATTATGTTGTTTATAACCCTAATGGGATCACGTGGCTAAGTGGGTAAGACGCTGGCTCGCTAGCCTGGAGGTCGGGTGTTCGATCCCTGCATTGGCCGAGAAAGTTCACCCAGATTTTCCGGCGTGGTTCTCACTTGTCAGTGATGCAGGACGGAGGGCCGGCCTGACAAGGACAGCTGTCTAGTCATTCGGATGATATGAAAAACCGAGGTCACGTATACACATTGACGTGCACGTAAAAGATCCCTTGACAGATGGAATTCGATATAAGAGTAAGCCATAGTGCCGCTGTCCGGGCAAAAGTTTCCTCATAGCACACTGTATGGCGTATGCCCGTTTTTATTAGCCCATACGTTAAACAGACGTTAAACCCCATTTCATTTCAATTCATTTTATTTTCAATTTATAACCCTGAGTATGCTTGTTGTAAATAAAATTAATAATGTTATTTATAACTCTGATCATGATTATGTTTTTTTGTTGTGCATCTTATATTTATTTCTAAAGAAATAAACGTATTCAAGCGTAAATGTTACTGCATTGAGTGGGGCTCCTGTTTTGGTATTTTATTGTAATACTAAGATAGTTTGTTAGATAACGCCATCTTTAGAATTTTATTGGGCGTCTTAGCTTTATTTATTAAAATTCGATATTTTATATAAAGCCGTGCAAATTTACATAATTTAAGCATTTCATCCCGAGAAACAGAGAGATAATCAAGGATTCTGCCAACAATGAAGCTGAATATTGATTTGGGTTTACTTCTCATCTCTCTGGTGGGCAGGTAAGTAAAATATAAAGTCATACACTGTACGGGTTCGATCCTTACGTTAGCCGACAAAGTGGGGTGCCCCTTTGTCAGTGGTGCAGGTCGTGGGCGGGGGGGGGGAGTGGGGTGGCAATGAACAATATTGGCGAAGAATGAACAACGAGCTAGTTTGTTGCTCGTTATTCAGCAGGTATAGAATTAGTTATATAACTAAGCCTTGTTAATGGGGAAAATGCCGGGAGTGTTTTTTTATTAGAATAATTGTTTTATAACAGATCAAAGTCTTGGGAAAAAGATTCTAACGAGCTAGCTTTGTACCTGAATGAAAGACAGATTGTTGGAATCTTTTTCCCAAGACTTTGAAATGTTAGAAACCAATTATGCTCATAAATTATACACTCCCAGCGTATTCTCTATAAGAACGTCTTTATCATATTACCAATTCCATATCTGGTGAATAACAAATATCAAACTAGATCAGATAAGTTCAGTTCAATGCTAGTTTGTTTTTAGGACAGTGTATCTATATAAAGGATAGTATCTCTATATAAAGAACGGTGTCTCTATATAAAGGACAGTGTCTCTATATAAAGGACAGTATCTGTATATAAAGGACAGTATCTGTATATAAAGGACAGTATCTCTATATAAAGGACGGTGTCTCTATATAAAGGGCAGTATCTTTATATAAAGGATAGTGTCTCTATATAAAGGGTTGTATGTTTTAAGGAAAATGTCTCTACATGAAGGATTGTACAGATAGTATGTTTTAAAGGAGGCAAGTCTTTAACTCAATATCATCAACAGTCTTTGACATTGTAAACACGACTTATTGGTCAATTTAAACCAGCATTGATGTTGTTGTCTTAATGAGAAAAGATGACCTTATGTTATCCAATATTTAACACAAAATGGAAAATTTTAAATTGGCACACGAATCGCGTGCCAGAATGCTTTCTACCGCCATTTGTAATGACGCGAATAGATGAACGAGGTTAAACATATCCCACAGGCGAATACTACAGGTTTAGACTGGAATAACCTGACGCCAAGACTGCCATTTGATTGAATTTAAACAGTTTATATACCTTAATATTACATTATTATATGCGTTACGACCCATTTGTGTCCATTTCTAGTTGCCAAAAGAATAGAGATTTCCCTCCTTTAATGACACTGTCTTACATAAAGGGCTGTATACATATATGTATATTTTAGGGACAGTTTCTCGACATCCTTAAAATACTGTTTATTTGTTTGTATATTTACAGATTGACCTGTCAAAGAGGTGAGTAGTCTAGCTAATACCTAAATTATCCTCTGGCTGTTGGAATTCGAAATATGGGCAACCCGTCCCGCCAAACTGCGTGACGTATGCCCGTCTTGATTAGCCCAGAAATGTAAGACGTTAAACCCCATTTCAATGTTTATTGTGGTTTCCCCTTGTCAGTGATACAGGATGGAGGGTCTGACAAGGACAGCTGTCTAGTCCTTCGGATGGAACGAAAAACCGAGATCCTGTGTACACATTGGCGTGCACGTAAAAGATCCCTTGGCAGTTAGAATTCGATATAAGAGTAGGCCGTAGCGCCGCTGCCCGGGCAAAATTTCCCTCATAGCACACTGTATGGCGTATGCCCGTCTTAAAGGACAATATTGGTGTCAGTCATTATAAAATATGTGATAGAGCTCGTTAAATACATCCCAAATATTATTTTAACACAGAAATCATTGCTACGATAGCTGAGTAACAAGCACGTGAAGAAACGGGAAGTGACGTCAAACATGACAAACACGAGTTGTCCTATATAACAGACTGAAGTAACGAGCGGTAACAGACAAACGATCGAATTTCATTTCACTGATAATTCAGTTGAAGATGAAAAGTTGTTATATGAGACGATGAGAGGATATCTGGCAATTCAAAAAAGAATTGGCTGTCAGTAGATAAAAGATAACGAACAAATTAGAAAAAGTCCGTGCATTACCATGTTTTTATTAAGAAAAGAATGAATAAAAACAGGTGAATGCACGGGATTTTTCTATTTTTCTATCAAGTGACAGCCAGTTCTTTTTTTGAATTGTGGGATACCCTCTCACCGTCCCATATAATAACTTTTCAACTTCATCGGAATTATCAGTGAAATGAAATTCGATCGTTTTGTCTGTTACCGCTCGTTACTTCAGTCTGTTATATAGAAGGAAAACTCGTGTTTGTCATGTTTGACGTCACTTCCCGTTTCTTCACGTGCTTGTTACTCAGCTATCGTAGCAATGATCTCTGTGTTAAAATTATATTTGGGATGTATTTAACGAGCTCTATCACATATTTTATAATGACTGACACCAATATTTCCTTTAATTAGCCCAGTTTAGGAGTAGAACAGTAGGACGTTAAACCCCATTTCATTACATTTCATTTCATATGTTTATTATTACAGTCCAATCAGTAATCACTGGGGATGCAACATGTGACAAAAGAATGTCTTTCTATGCTGATGGTGTCCGCTATACCACCACACCAAACGATAATAAATGGCGAAAATCATCACCTGTCAGGATTCCTGATGATACCGAACTTGTTGCCATTAAATGTGTAAATCCCGCGGGGGTTGGTGGCATCAAGATGGCATTGAGTGACGGTACTAAAACAGACGTGACGTGGAAATGTTCTGCTACATTTGAAGATAATTGGAATAAAGTCGGGTGAGTCCAACTTAAAACACAAGAAGTCGGGCGAGTCCACCTTTAAGCATGAGATGGATGAGGCCAAACTTAAACCCAAAGGCGGATAAGCTCAAAGGTAAACATAAGTCCGGGGAGTTCAACGTAAGACATGGCCTATACCACAGCTCCTTCGTCATTTCTATGTTCGGTTTACGACTCTCCGTGGGGGGAGATAGGGGATGTAAGAATTCCTTAAGGAGAGCCCGACAAAGAATAACGTGGGACCCAAAATTGAGATTCGGTGTTCAAATTTATGTGCACGTAAAAGATCCCTGACAGGTATGCACGTATGCTTCATTCAACCAGTTGGTGCAAAAATGGAAGAAGTAAAAGTCCATTTTATTTTAGGCCACAGGTAGCGG